AAGTTGCTCCTCGTGTTGTTTGTTTTCTCAAGGGATCTTCGGGTCAAGGAATTTTGTTAAAATCGGACTCGGATTTAAAGCTTACCGCTTATTGTGACTCTGATTGGGTTGCATGAGCCAACCCGTTTGTTTTGTGATAATCAGGTAGCTATTCACATTTCGGCTAATTCTATTTTTCACAAACAGACCAAGTATATTGAGGTTGATTGTCATGTAGTACACGATGCAATCACTGATGGGATGATTTCCACCGTTCGCTTTCCAACAACTGATCAACTTGCTGATATTTTAACAAAGGCTCTTGGTCATCCTAAATTTGATTATCTAGCGTTCAAGTTGGACATTTTAGATCTTCATACTCAACTTGAAGGGGAGTATTAAGCTATGTTATATTGGGATTTTGTATATATTGTTGTGTGGTTAGGTTTAGGTTTGGCTGTCATATATCTTTGTATAAATACAAAGTGGAACACAAGTTTAACATCAATAAGAAAGTGCATTCTCTAAAATTTACAAACAACCAATGGGTAGTGAAATAGACAACAAGCTCAAATGAAATAGAACCCTTACTAAACAAAGTAGAAACATAGAACATAGTGAAGGGAAAAAGAAACTTTTACGTACCCGTTCTAACCGACAATCAGTAAGGACGAGGAGAAGAAGAGTTAACCCTAGTTACTTAGATACCATGATCTCAAACCAATAGATGCTACATATGGGGGAAGACTCTCTTTGGATAAGGATAGATCCTTCTATAGGAAGTGGCTGGAGATCATAAGTAGTGATCACACCATAGAGGTTTAGAGAATCGGTGGAGATAGTAAAATGGCTATGTAAAAGTGTAAGGGGGTTTCGGAGAAGGGTGGTCTTCCGACAAAGCTTTTAGAAATTCTTTTGGTAAAACTCTTGTTTTTGATCAAGTGCCCGGTAACAAAGCTTTATACTCAAGTAAGACTATTTGTAGTGGGGGTCGAATGTTGGGCCATAGCCCATAGTGTAGAGCAACGAAAGTTAAAGGGTGATGAACTGATGATTGTTAGTTCATGATCCAGACTATTTTATGGGGCCATTTGAAATGTATGGATCTTGTTTAATGACCGAAAGCTATGGGCCATAAAATTGAAGGCCATAAAATGTATGGATCTTGTTTTATTCACACGTGATTTATATTTATTCAAGTTTTATTACCCTAGAAATTTACTAAGGTTTTTAAACGGTGTCAAGCAAGAGTACATAGTATATCTGTATATGCATTAGATAGTCAAATTCTGAGATCTGACATAAACTGGTTCATATATTGTGACATTGTGTGTGTGTCTGCACATATGTTTACAAATATCATATTTTTAACCCAATAATATGTTATTTTACAAAAATATATATATATATATATGTTATTTTACATAATATTATTGAAATCACTTTTTATATTATTAAATATTCTTAGTGGGTAATGTATAAACCTTCTATCAAAATGATGTGATGTTCCTAAATTTGCAACTTGAGATTGAGAATATGCTCCTCTTATTACTAAAGAATCCAGCTCAAACCACATATATATTATTCTTATAATATATTATATGGACCGTGGTCCTAACATTTTATTTTTAACACAACACTTATCAAAAGAAAAAAAAAATAAAAAAGAAAAAAGAACAGAGAACCCAACTTCAAATCCAGGAAAAATGGGTAAATAAACCCTCACCTTTCTTAAAAACAGAGAAAAAACCCTCAACTTTTTTTGTGGGTTTTTAAACCCTCACCTTTTTATAAATGGTTAAATAAACCCTAATATTAATAAACTTAATTTAATTTTTTAAAAAATCATTATATTAAAACTGTAAGAAAGAAAAATAATTTAATTTATGATTTTTTATTTCAAATTTGAGTTTACGATTTTTTTTTCTAAAATTAGGGTTTTTGCGCTATGAACATTTATTCACCATTAAGTTGAGATTAGGCAAATTATTTTTGTTACAATTAGAAGTTATGTTATATAAACTACAAAAATTTATAGGATATCACATTTGAATTTTTTTTTATTCGAGTGTTTTAGTTTTGGATAAAAATATAGTTAAATAATGATTAATTAAATATAATTTATATTATATTTTAATATATCGTAATATATATATATATATATATATAGAAATTTTAATTGTTAGTCAATTTTATTTAGTTTGTCCAATGAAAATATTTTGATGTGGAAATTCATGTACTTTTCGTAGTATTATAAAATTTGGTTTGGTTTTACGTTAGTAAATTTGTGAGACCGAACCTAATAAACCTTTATTAATCAAAACTCATATTCGGTTTCGATATAAGAATTTACATATAATTCGTAATAAAATCGGTTTGGTTTTATGTTGATGAATTCTTGTAACACACCGAATAAAACTTCACTAGTTAACTTTTTTACATCCTGACTTACATATTTTCAAAATAGAAAAATATTATAAACTAGAATTTTAGAAAAAACACCCTAAATCAAATTGTTTTTATTTATTTATGTTTTAGTATAACTATTTTTTGAATTTAAATTATGTTTATTAATACTAGGGTTTATTTTACCATTTATGAAAAAGTGGGGGTTTAAAAACCCACAAAAAAAGTTGAGGGTTTTTTCTATGTTTTTAAGAAAGGTGAGGGTTTTTCTACCCATTTTTCCTCAAATCCAATATCATTATTTATGTAAAATAACCCAAGTAGTTTATTCGATATGCTGTCAAAAAAGTTTGTTTGATATATAATTCTCTTGAGATTAATTTATCACATGGACTCCAAAATTAAAACTCAAGAGGGTCGGAGAAATTGATTAAACCGTGCCAAATCGAAGTTAAACCAAATTTGGTTTTCAGTAAAGTTTTTTCTAAACTAAATGAACCTAGATGACAAAGAAGAACCCAAAACAAAAATTAATAAGTTCTCTTGAATATCATTCTGAAGAAAAAAATTATTGGAAAAAAAAATTAAAAGGGAGATAACAAACCGATAAAACAACAAAGATAAACAAAACATACCAAATAAGTACATTAAATTTATATTTTTCAAATTTGAGTTTAAATTTAATAGTATATATGTGTGTGAGTTGGAGAAAAAAAATATTATAAAGATCATACATATATATGACAAGAAAAGAGTTAGATAGATTGATTTTTTATGAAATTTAAGTATTAAGTATCCTTTGTTGGACCCAAAGGTCAGCAAGGGTGCTTCACCACAAGTATTATATTCCAAAGAAAAGCATTTCCCCTCACACGAATCTTAATATAATTTTATGCAAAAGTAGCCACTAACACCAAATATCATAATCAAACTTTTGGGAGAATTATGAATAATTATCTCATGCAATTACATAGATCATGCATATAAAACCCTTAAAGGAATTATTAACACAGGTCATGCATATGGACAAGATTTAAAAAATGAAAAGCAGTTTCACCACTAGTATGCATGTTTTTAAAGGTTTATTAAGTGGTTCTCATAAAGATCCAAATCTTGTTTCCTTTTACATTTTGCAAGTGTGCCTTAATCATCATACATCATTAGGCAATATATATATAAGCTTTGTTATATAATATCAGAAGGTTATGTGTCTTACATGGAAAGAGAAGAAGATCAGTTACAATATTAAAAAGAGCAGAGCAAACTCATGTGAAGTGTTGTTACGTATAGTATACTGTATACACTAGACTAATAAGTCGATTTATGTTCAATTTAAAATCAAAATCCCAAAAAAAATATAGACACAAATACGAAATACTTGAAATACAATGACAGTTTTAACATAGAGTGTTTTTGTTTGTTAAATGTTTTAAAATAGAGTTTTACAATGCTTTTGGAATCTTTCTTCTTAGGTGCCAACTACAGATAAATTATATGTATTACCATTAGGAATCGGACCAATATAATAGATATCAGGATTAGATATCTACCTCAGTACCTCTCATCACCATCACTTAGCATTAACTTCTAGTCATTGATAAAGATTATAATTTCTTTTACTAAAAAGAAAACTAAATCAACATCAAGTCTGCAATTGTGTGTTGTCCACACAAGTTACTTAAAATTATACCGCAGGTGGGAGGGACCATTGCTGCAAATTGTTTCCGAACCACTCCTATTAATTTCTTTCTTTCTGATTTTGTTATCCGGAAAATTATGGAACCACTTTATTTCAACTTCAAACTATTTCAAATGTAGAAGCCTGATGGTTGGATCATTAGATAACACAACTTCTTATAAATTATTAATATAAATTTTGACGGAGGTTCCAAAGTACTGTATGCAGAGTCGCATGTCTGGATTTCGTGTGTTACGAAGGAAAATATGTCCATTTTGAATATCATACATGTAGAACCGTTTTTTTATAGATCTGAATGTTGCGAAGAAAGCTGCACTGTAAAATTGTTGTTTATGAAACTGTTCATCGTAATTACATATGTTGCATATAGTCTATCACCATAATGGAATTGATCAAATATTTTTAATAATAATATAATAGATGACAACTAAAAAACAACTATTTATATATAAAAATAAAAAAAAAAAAAAAAAATAAAAAAAAAAAAAAACAACTATTTATAAACAATTAGAAAAAAATAATAAAACTACTCAATGCAAATGTAACCATAATTTTGTACAAGAGTCTTTAGGTTTTCTAAATGTTTGGAAATTTTCAAAAAATTACGAAAAAATAAAAAAAATTGTAAATGAATGAAAAATAAATACAAAAAATTATATGCAAATGAATGAAAGAATAGATTTTGTACAAAACCACTTTAAAATTTGAAAAATTCAAAAAATTGTCAAAGTTTTTTTCTCAGCCGTGTGTCCTCCTTTCCTAGCCGCCACATCTCACATTCTAATGCTCACCACGCGATGTAACTGTAAGCGCTGAGTTTTTGCAGTTTCCAGATTTCACTTCCACCAATAAAAACTCGCCACGTCATCAATACGAATCATTCCGTATAAACGTCTAGATTCTTTAGAGCCTAAATGTTCTCTACTTTGGTCGGCCATTATTTAACGCTTTGAACCTAATCTAGCCCAGCCAAAGAAGAAGACGAAGCAAAACCAAATCCAAAGATCTCCATTTTCGTAGCTTCTTTAAACCAAAGAGAAAGTTTTTCACTTTTTTGATTAGAAATGGCTTTAGCTGTAACTTCTTCTTCTTCAACTGCGATCTCTGGATCGAGTTTCTCTCGTTCAGGAGCTTCTTCTGAATCTAAAGGTACTAACTTTCTCTTTCATTTTCTCGGGAAAGTAATCAAAATTGATTCCTTGATTGTTCATTGTTATACCCATTTGCTGGATTCTGATGAATCTAATCGGAAATTTTCAAATTTGGTATCTTTTCGCAGCTCTTCAAATCTGTTCGATTAGGTTATCAGATCGAACCCATTTGTCTCAGAGGCGTTACTCTTTGAAACCTTTAAGCGTTGAGTCACATTCACGAAACGAATCTTGGGTTTCTCGTGCTTCAACTCTAATTGCTCATGGTTCGTGCTTGTGACTATTCTCAGATTTAGAATTTCATTTTTTCTGATTTGTTTTTCGATTACTGATTTTGATGAGTTGTCACAGAAGTTGAAGAGAAAGAAGGAGAAGTTGAAGACTTTGAGCAACTTGCTAAAAAGCTTGAAGATGCTTCTCCACTTGAAATCATGGATAAAGCTCTTGAGAGATTCGGAGATGAAATCGCAATTGCTTTTAGGTAAGATTTGATTATAAATCATTGAGAAATTGATTCAATTAGGTAAAAAAGACAACTTTAGTTGACTTATGAATCTGGTTTTGGATTTTTGTAGTGGTGCTGAAGATGTTGCATTGATCGAGTACGCTCGTTTAACTGGAAAGCCTTTTAGGGTTTTTAGTTTAGACACAGGGAGGTTAAACCCGGAAACGTACAGACTCTTTGATGCTGTCGAGAAGCAGTACGGGATTCGGATCGAGTACATGTTTCCTGATGCAGTTGAGGTTCAAGCTTTGGTGAGGAACAAGGGTTTGTTCTCTTTTTATGAGGATGGTCATCAAGAGTGTTGCCGTGTGAGGAAAGTAAGACCTTTGCGTCGTGCTCTTAAGGGTCTTAAAGCTTGGATTACAGGACAGAGGAAAGATCAATCTCCGGGTACGAGATCCGAGATCCCGATTGTTCAGGTTGATCCGGTGTTTGAAGGATTAGATGGTGGTGTTGGAAGTCTTGTGAAGTGGAATCCTTTGGCTAATGTTGAAGGAAGTGATGTGTGGAACTTTTTGAGAACGATGGATGTTCCGGTGAATGCATTGCACGCGCAAGGATATGTGTCAATCGGGTGTGAGCCTTGTACTAGGCCGGTGCTTCCTGGTCAGCATGAGAGAGAAGGAAGGTGGTGGTGGGAAGATGCTAAAGCTAAAGAATGTGGTCTGCACAAAGGGAACATCAAGGAGGAAGATGGTGCTGCAGATTCAAAGCCTGCGGCTGTGCAAGAGATATTCGAAAGCAACAATGTGGTTGCATTGAGCAGAGGAGGGGTTGAGAATCTTATGAAGCTAGAGAATCGCAAAGAGGCGTGGTTGGTTGTGCTTTACGCTCCTTGGTGCCCTTTCTGCCAGGCGATGGAAGCATCATACATCGAATTGGCTGAGAAACTTGCGGGAAAAGGAGTTAAAGTGGCGAAATTTCGGGCTGACGGTGAGCAGAAGGAGTTTGCTAAGCAAGAACTTCAGTTAGGGAGCTTCCCGACGATACTTCTCTTTCCGAAAAGCGCTCCACGAGCTATTAAGTACCCGTCAGAGCATAGAGATGTTGATTCGCTTATGACGTTTGTGAATCTTCTTCGATGAGTTATGAGATCGAAAATCAAAATAGTGTGGTGAAGAATGAAAGAGAATTGAGATGAAGGAGTGATTTCATCTTGGTTATAAGATTGTGGACCTCAGAGAATAAACAAGAGTTTCTCTTCTATATGATTTTGTATATTTGTATTGTAGGGTTTTATAGACTCTTTTTGTATAACGTTTTTTTCTTGTGACAAGAAATTGGTTTATCAAATCTATAATTCAGCAAATCATAACTTAAGAAAAACAATCTAAACTACAGAGAATCAAATTTTAAAATACCAAACTCTAATCCGGTTAAGGCCGGTCCTAAACAGAAGGATCAAAGATTTGACCAGCGAACAAAACAGTTCCGGTTTGGTCTTCTCTAATCAAGAAAACAAACGGATGATCTGCTACAAAATCTAATGTCTTCACAAAACGGCAGCCTTTGCATCGAACAAAAGCTGCTACAGCAGCAGCTTCAGTACCTTCTTCATCGATCTCAATCAAAGCTTTTTGGTACAATGACACATCAAGATCAAAGTCATTGAAAACACTTGAAGCTTCAAACCCGAATTCGATCTTAAACTTTGGAATTCTGAATTTACCAACTTTAACTTTGTCTTCCGGAATATGACTATCCAAGAATCCAGGAGTAGATATCATTCTCTTTAAAATATTATCGAATTCTCCTTTCTTGTTCGGGAGATAGAAATACATTGAGAAGTTGCGGTTGGTATCGTCACGGCCTTGTCGATAAGGAAGGCTGAGTACCTTAAAACCATCATAAGCCTTAATGTATTGGTCTTCAGAGCTACTCATGAATGGCACAGACACTGATGGTCCATTGAGAAGGTAAAAAGGTTTGCGTTTCGTCATTGACTTGCTGAATTTTTTCGCCCAGGCTCCTTTGAAGTACAATGCGCTTCCATAAATCCGGTTGGTTAGGCTTGTAACTGATCCATGAGGAAGAAGATCTTTGATGAGACCATTTGTATGACTTGTTGCCCACGAATTTACCTCCATACGCACTTCTTCGGCCTTCAAAACATTAAAAAACCATAATTACAAAACAACAACCGAACCGAACCAAAGATCACAAATATGGATTATTAGAAAAATCGAAAACATTGAATGTGTTGTTTTACACATCTCTTGACCTCAGACCTAATCAAAGCAAATTTAAAATCGAACAGTGTACTAATATAGAATATGATCTCTTATTGATCCACGAAGATGATACACAATAGAGAGACGGCTAAACCTAACGTGTTTCGCACGTTACAATATACAAGCCAATTAATAGAAGATATGGCCCTATAAAAAGATATGTTTCTCCAGAAAACTAGAGAAATCAGAAACTAACCTTGGATCGGAAATCAACTTGAGCGAAAGCAGCATTGAAGAAATTCTGAAAGAGATCTTTCGACGAGGGATTGACAGGTAGAGATTGCTCCATCCACATTCCATTAACCACCGTGATTTTGGGGCCGCCTTTTTTGCTTCCATCAACAAGGACGGTGGAAGCGATTTCGCGGAAAACTGCGTTAAGTTCATCGGTTGAGGAAGCCTTAAGGAAGGATAGGATGAAGGATCTTAGTTCTCTACTTTCTTCATCACCGGAGCTAGCAGCAACCATGGTGAGTACGGTGTTGATTGATGCAGGAGAGAAGACAAAATTAGTATTTTTGGCTACGGAAGAGATTACTAGCCCCGTAAGGAATATAGCGAGATCGTTTTGCTTCTTCATTGCTTCTCCCACATCAATATTTGCTAGAGAAGGACTTGTGATTACCAAATCTTTATTGTTTGACAGAGAGGAACTTGTGATTACTTGTGATTTTCTGATTTTTTGTTCTTCTTCTTCTTTAGATGCGTCTTTGAGAGGAAGGGACTTGCGATGATTTCTGATGTGTCAAGCTTTTGTTTCTTCTGTAGGAATTCGTACCGGTTTATAACGATTTATAAATACTAATTACGAATTTAATTGCCAGGAACCGTGTAAATAAAGAATTAAATCTAGATCTTAGGATTTGAATATACCTGGATATTCTGCAGCGGAAATGTGAACCATATTAATTCGAAGTTGTTTTAGCACCCCAAGTGTTGTGCCTCTACCGGTATCCACACGCACACAAACTGGATCAGAGAGGATGCTAGTCCCGTTGAGATCTAATCTCAAAACTTAGACAAACAATTTGTCTCTTATGTTTTTAGGGTTCTTAGGTTTTTGTCGGCTAGGTTTTTGAGAACAACTTTCTCTTCCTCTGATTAATATATGTGTATCACGTTGCCTTTATATGAGATCATATTAAACCTAATCGAATTAGAAAAGGCACATGGGCTTAAGCCCACTACGTGATAGTCACTCCAAATCTGATTTGGATTATACACATCTACAACATATCTTTATATGTGTGTTTAATATATTATTTTATTTATCATATAAATAAAATAAACAAAACCTTTAACCCAGTATTAGTTTAATCTAAATTAAACCTAAATATAGTTTGATCCAATTTGCTTAGGTGTGTGACCCTATAGGTTCGTATAATATTAACAATGAGTTTTAGTCTCATAGATTATAAGCGGTCTCTAGCAAAACATTATAACCACCTAATATTATACGAATGTCAAACCTCGACATTTCAACTTTAATTAGAGTAAAGTACAACTGATTTCAGGACATTCCCAACAATCTCCCACTTGTACTGGAATCATCTATTCCCATAATCCCTTCGTCTCTATATCTCGATCTCAGCATAAGGCAAGAAATTGTCATCCTTATTAAGCTAGACCATGTTTATCGAACTCCGATTTATACTGATAAAAACAAACGACTGACATTCACCTCGTTTGAGCGCGGCCACGCATTTCTCAGTATCAAATCTTCGATAGGCCCAGAGATATTTATCTCCCGTTATATGGGAGGGACAAATCCCATCTTGTTCCATCCCTGTTCCTTAAACAATTCATAACCCGCCCAATCACTGTCTTTATAATCACCTTTTACGGCTGACGTTTGACAGAGTCAAAGCGAACTAATCCATGAATGAGAAATCATGACGAACTCAGGTCAAAGGACTATACTCTATAGTTGTGATGAGAAACTCTTATGACACTCATATAACAATCTTGTAGAGTTCTCATAACGGGTCAGTCCAATACTGTGTTCTCTAACACATATCTATGTGATTGACTTTAATACCACATATTAATGACTCCATGAAACGTAGTCATCAGTCACCTCACATACTAGCCATTCTTAGTTATTAATGTCCCATTTTAATAACCTTGGCTAGGGACTTCTATAATTTATGTCATTTTCCACTTATAGGGTTTCATGATCAAGTCACGTACTTGATGGCCTATAAGAATGATATAAATTATTTTGGGACTATTATTTAATTATCCAATAAATAAATAATACTGAAACAAATTTCATTAATTTGAAAATAAATTCAAATGCATTTTAACATCAACATCATATCATAAATAAAAAAATAAAAACCTCCCACTAGAAATAAGATCACATCTTTATAAATCTAATGCCAATCGCAGCAGTATGACTCTCATGCTTAGGCTGCGGAAGAGGTTTAGTAAACGGATCAGCAACATTTGCATCCGTTGGAACTCTGCTAATCTTCACATCACCTCTATCAATAATCTCACGAATGAGGTGATATCGCCTTTGTATGTGTTTGGATTTCTGGTGTGATCTAGGTTCTTTCGCTTGAGCGATGGCTCCATTGTTATCACAGTAAAGATCGATGGGGCCAGAAATACTAGGAACCACACCAAGTTCAGTAATGAACTTCCTGATCCAAACAGCCTCCTTAGCCGCTTCAGAAGCAGCTATATACTCAGCCTCAGTTGTAGAATCTGCCACAGTGCTTTGTTTGGAACTCTTCCAGCTCACTGCTCCTCCGTTGAGACAAAAAACAAATCCTGATTGAGATCGGAAATCATCTTTGTCTGTCTGAAAACTGGCATCGGTATAACCACTCACAACAAGTTCCTCACTTCCTCCATAGACCAAAAACTTATCCTTAGTTCTTCTCAAGTACTTAAGGATGTTCTTGACTACTATCCAGTGACTTTCACCTGGATCAGACTGGTATCTGCTCGTCATGCTCAAAGCACAAGCAACATCTGGGCGAGTGCAAAGCATAGCATACATGATAGATCCTATAGCAGAAGCATATGGAATCTTACTCATCCGCTCTCGCTCATCTTGTGTCGAAGGACACTGAGTCTTGCTAAGAGTTATGCCATGAGACATTGGTATAAAGCCTTTCTTAGAATCATGCATATTGAACCTATGCAAAACCTTATCTATATAAGTGTCTTGACTTAGTCCAATTATTTTGTTCAATCTATCTCTATAGATCCTTATTCCAAGAATATAGGCAGCTTCTCCCAAGTCTTTCATCGAGAAACAACTTCCAAGCCAAGTCTTGACAGACTGGAGCAAGGGAATGTCATTTCCAAGGAGCAGTATGTCATCTACATACAATACCAGAAATGCGACTGCGCTCCCACTAGTCTTCTTGTAAACATAAGGTTCTTCTTCGTTTCTAATGAAATCAAACTCTTTGATTGCCTCATTAAAACGAAGATTCCAACTCCGAGATGCTTGCTTCAATCCATAAATGGAACGATGAAGCTTGCATACCTTCCTAGCAGCTTCAGGAACAGTGAAACCTTCGGGTTGTGTCATGTACACATCCTCTTCAAGATTTCCATTAAGGAAAGCTGTTTTCACATCCATTTGCCAAATCTCATAATCATAATGAGCAGCAGTTGCTAGGAGAATCCGAATGGACTTAAGCATTGCGACTGGTGAATAGGTTTCATCATAGTCAATACCATGAATTTGCTTGTAACCTTTCGCCACTAGTCTAGCTTTGTATATCTGTATATTACCATCCATGTCAATTTTCTTCTTGAAAATCCATTTACACTCAATGGCTTTTACACCATCAGGTAAATCAACCAAAGTCCATACTTTGTTTTGTGACATGGATTCCATCTCGGATTTTGCGGCCTCTAACCACTTATCGGAATCGGGGCCCATCATTGCTTCTTCGTATGACGTAGGTTCATCACTCTCTATAATCAATAGATCATGATCATCCGTCACCCAATCTCCAAATCTATCGGGTTCGTGACGATTCCTTTCGGACCTACGTACCTCAGGTTCCACAGGTGTAGATTCTACGACTCTTCGTAGATCCAACTGATATTCTTTCTGAGAAGCTGGAACATCCTCCTGTGGTTCTCGAACTTCTTCGAGTAACACTTTACTCCCACTAGTTCCTTTTGAAAGAAACTCCCTTTCCAAAAAGGCACCATTTCGAGCAACAAACACTTTGTTGTCAGTAGGATGGTAGAAGTAATAACCTTTGGTCTCTTTAGGATAACCTACGAAGTAGCATTTATCAGATTTGGGTCCAAGCTTATCAGTAATCAACCGTTTGACATAAGCTTCACAACCCCAAATTTTGAGAAAAGATAAATTAGGAACTTTTCCAGTCCATATCTCATATGGTGTCTTTTCAACTGATTTTGATGGACATCTGTTTAGCATAAACGCAGACGTCTCTAGAGCATATCCCCAAAAGGATATTGGAAGATTAGTGTGACTCATCATCGATCGAACCATATCCAATAAAGTTCGATTTCTCCTTTCGGACACACCATTCCACTGTGGTGTTCCTGGAGGAGTGAGCTGTGAAACAATTCCACACTCTCTGAGATGATCACTGAATGCTTGGCTCAAATATTCTCCTCCACGATCTGATCGAAGAGCTTTAATTGATTTGCCAAGTTGATTTTGTACTTCATTCTGGAACTCCTTGAACTTTTCAAAGGACTCCGACTTATGTTTCATTAGATAAACATAACCATATCTACTGAAGTCATCAGTAAATGTAATGAAGTACTGATAGTTTCCTCTGGCGCTTGTACTCATTGGCCCACATACATCTGTATGTATAAGGCCCAATAAGTCACTAGCCCTCTCACTGTGCCCAGTAAATGGGGCCTTAGTCATTTTTCCCAACAAACAAGATTCACAAGTCTCATAAGATTCATAATCAAATGAGTTCAAAAGTCCATCACTATGAAGCTTTTGAATGCGTTTCTCATTTATATGGCCCAAACGACAATGCCAGAGAAAAGTTGGATTCAAGTCATTAGACTTAAATCTCTTGGTACGAATGTTATAGACTGGCATGCTTTGGTTTAGAACATAAAGCCCATTCTCTAATGGAGCGCTACCATAAAACATATCATCTCGATCAAATGAACAACATTTGTTCTTGATCGAAAAGTGAAAACCTTCCATGTCCAAACATGAAACGGAGATGATATTCTTGTTTATAGCAGGAACATAGTAGCAGTTCTTAAGCTCCAAAACCATGCCTGAAGGTAAAGACAACGAATATGTTCCCACGGCTAATGCAGAAACTTTTGCTCCATTAGCCACACGTAGGTCCACTTGTCCTTCCTCCAAAGTTCTACTGTTGTTTAGGCCATGCACATTTACACAAATGTGAGCACCACAACCGGTATCCAATACCCAAGGAGTAGAACCAGAAGTAGTAACATTTACTTCTATAACATAGATACCCGAAGAAGAAACCTTGAATGTTTTCTTCTTCTCCAGATCTTCCAAGTTTTTAAGAGGGTTTGATCCATTCAATTTGTCCTTCTCAAGAACATCTCGAAATGAATAGGAACTTTGAGGGTTTAACGTAACTGGCGAAAAAGAAAAGCAGAAATTAATATGATGTTCATAAAATTTAGAATTCTCAACAATTAAGAAAACTAACACTATACTCAAAACAAAATTTCCTCTAATGAGTACAATGATCCAAGATCCATATTTCATTAGAATCCAAGTGAGCTTTGGCTCCACCCCTGAATATCTAGCTATTTAGGTAAGCAACACCTTGCTAATTATATCCAATATAATTCTTGGTTGTGGATGACATCTTATGTCTTACCCAACCCTATGTCTCTAAGCCCAAAACCGTTTTGATAGCCTAGTCAAGTAAACCAATTTTATTTCATATGGTAACCGTTACCATCTGTCTCACTCTTAAACAATTGCAGACCGCTGCTTTGGCAGACCCGCCATGCAACAATTCAAGTTTTAACAGTTGATAAAATTGGGGAGACATCAAATACTTGATATTAATTGAGGAATTAATTTTATAACTCAACTTTATAATTAAATTTATATCCAAGATTAATTTTATAACTCAACTTTATAATTAAATTTATATCCAATATAAATAAAAATATAACTAATACATATCTAATATGTAATTAGTTGAATTATAAATAATTTAATTAATTTTAATCAAATTAAAATTAATTATTATTTAGAAAATTAATCTTAATTAAATTTCAATAACTCTAACCAGATTAGAACGTAATATAATCGAACTTATCTTAATCTATTTAGGATCTATCAAATTATTATATTACAAGTATAATTTTTGATCATATCAAAATCTATACTATACAACTATTGACTTTTCTTTCTAAAAAGAAATAAATCATTAGTCAATATATTATTATTATATTTACGGTCATGGTAACAGATCTTTTGAAGAAGGAACAATTCCAAATCAAATAAAGAATCTAACCATTACCCGTAACTTTACATACATATAATATATTATCTTTTAATGCTAATTACTTTAATTAATTTAAATATATAAAACCATGTATATCTATATATACATAGAATCTTGCTGGAGATTTGACCTTTTCGAACAGAATCACAAACCATTATCTTATAATGGATTATGACTTCAATAAATAATTTATTATCAAATAATAATTTTAAATTAAACAAGTAAAAACAGAGAGCTCCATGAACTCACGTGACTACGCATTCTAATTATCAAGTTACATGAACGAACATGCACGTATATCTTTATATACCCTCAATAATATACTTTAACATAAACGTATATCATATATATACATAATATGTTTTAGTTGTATTAAACAAAATTAACTCAATAGCATAATCAAATTATGACGACGAACATGTTCAAGCACAATATATAATTTTGTTTATCTTTTGTTTTACCAATTAAATTTCATAAATTTAAACAAGCTAAGACAAATTACAATTATTCATCTATATCAAAATATAGATTAAACTAGATTCAAATTCAGTATTAATCACGTAGGCTCTGATACCACTGTAGGAATTCGTACCGGTTTATAACGATTTATAAATACTAATTACGAATTTAATTGCCAGGAACCGTGTAAATAAAGAATTAAATCTAGATCTTAGGATTTGAATATACCTGGATATTCTGCAGCGGAAATGTGAACCATATTAATTCGAAGTTGTTTTAGCACCCCAAGTGTTGTGCCTCTACCGGTATCCACACGCACACAAACTGGATCAGAGAGGATGCTAGTCCCGTTGAGATCTAATCTCAAAACTTAGACAAACAATTTGTCTCTTATGTTTTTAGGGTTCTTAGGTTTTTGTCGGCTAGGTTTTTGAGAACAACTTTCTCTTCCTCTGATTAATATATGTGTATCACGTTGCCTTTATATGAGATCATATTAAACCTAATCGAATTAGAAAAGGCACATGGGCTTAAGCCCACTACGTGATAGTCACTCCAAATCTGATTTGGATTATACACATCTACAACATATCTTTATATGTGTGTTTAATATATTATTTTATTTATCATATAAATAAAATAAACAAAACCTTTAACCCAGTATTAGTTTAATCTAAATTAAACCTAAATATAGTTTGATCCAATTTGCTTAGGTGTGTGACCCTATAGGTTCGTATAATATTAACAATGAGTTTTAGTCTCATAGATTATAAGCGGTCTCTAGCAAAACATTATAACCACCTAATATTATACGAATGTCAAACCTCGACATTTCAACTTTAATTAGAGTAAAGTACAACTGATTTCAGGACATTCCCAACATCTTCTCCTTTGGCTCCATCTTTCAAGTTTCCTAGTTTATTTCTTATGACCTTATAAACATGTCCGTGTATAAATAGAGAGAAGATATAAGATGGAATTAGGGTTTGGTGTATTGCCTCAATGAGAAAAAAGAAGAAATTTTCCTATATTAACTTTGTTCCTTGTTACGCAAGTTTGCTTAGAACAAAATGGCCCATCATCAACCTCGGTTGTTTCATTTTCTCCTTGTAACACAAACCCTTCGTGAAGCAAGAAATCTGAAGTGGGCTTTTGTGTAGAGTCTGGCCCAAGTAACTTTATGAGTAAGCCCAAAACTCACGCAAAGTAACAATCGTTATCAAAATAAAATTGGATCCAGCATGAATCGTTACCCTTTAAACCCTAGTTTCTTCTTTCTTCTTTCTTCCTTCCCCCTCAAATTTAGATTTTTACCATTTTGGGTTTCACGAACATTCATCGATCTACTATGAGTCACACTGATGAATATTTTTAAGCTTGGAGAAATTTTGAGATTTTTCATTCTGAAGTTTCTCGAATTTAATCAGATAGCTTGCTCGAACACGTTCCAAGCATTTGTCAATCGCATTGTATTGTCATGTGTTCTCTGATTCCTCATGGAAAAAGGTTGGTCCAGTTTCAAAAATGGTGTAATTTGAGTGTTACAGTGAACCTTTTTCAAAATGGATCTGCTTTTTCCAATTCCTTCTCCTCTGTTGCTAGTTCTGCTGATGTGAGATCAAGAGATGGTCGAAAAGGTAACAACTTTACAGTCTCTTACCTCGTTGATTCATTGGGTTTAACCACAAAGCTCGCAGAATCGATTTCAAGTAAGGTCAGTTTCGAGAACAAGGGCAATCCTGATTCTGTTCTGAATCTTTTGAGAAGTCATGGGTTCACAGTTTCTCAGATCTCCAGCATCATTACGGATTATCCACTATTGCTCATAGCAGACGCTGAGAGTTCCCTTGGTCCCAAGCTTAAGTTGCTGCAGTCAAAAGGAGCTTCAAGCTCTGAGCTCACAGAGATTGTTTCTAAAGTTCCTAAAATCTTAGCAATGAAAGGGGACAAAAGTATCAGCAGATACTATGATATCGTCAAAGAGATTGTAGAAGCGGATAAGAGTTCCAAGTTCGAAAAGTTGTGTCATTCTTTGCCAGAGGGTAGTAAGCAGGAGAATAAAATCAGAAATGTATTGGTTTTGAGAGAATTGGGCGTGCCTCAAAGGTTGTTATTCTCATTGCTCATCTCTAATCACCATGTCTGCTGTGGAAAAGAAAAATTTGAAGAATCACTCAAGAAAGTTGTTGGGATGGGTTTTGATCCGACCACCCCAAAGTTTGTGGAAGCCTTATGCATTGTTTACGGATTGAGCGACAAAAGACTAGAAGAAAACTTCAACGTCTATAAAAGGTTCGGCTTAACTGTAAACGATATATGGGAACTTTTCAAGAAGTGCCCTGCCTTTCTTGGATACTCAGAGAATAGGATAATTCAGACATTTGAAGCCTTAAAGAGGTGTGGTCTGTGCGAAGATGAGGTCTTATCAGTGTTCAAGAAGTATCCATTATGCTTACGTGCTTCAGAGCAGCAGATATTGAACTCAATGGAAACATTTATAGGCTTAGGATTTAGCAGAGATGAGTTTGTGATGATGGTCAAGTGCTATCCTCAGTGCATTGGGTATTCTGCAGAGATGGTGAAGAAGAAGACTGAGTTTGTGGTGAAGAAGATGAATTGGCCACTAAAGGTCATGACTTTGTTCCCTCAGGTACTTGGATACAGCATGGAGAAGAGGATTGTCCCAAGGTGTAACGTAATCAAAGCTCTCATGTCCAAAGGATCGCTTGGAAGTGAACTCCCTCCAATGGCGTCTGTTTTGGCATGTACCGATCAGACCTTCTTAAACAGGTATGTGATGGAGCATGATGAAAAGCTGGTGCTTCAGTTGATGGCTATCTTCAACCAAGATCGTATCTCATAGCATAGAGAGCTTGTGTCAAGGATTTTGCTTTTATTAATTAATTTTTGAATTTTGTAATCTCAATTTGATCTGGATCCCAACTTACTATATACAATCCAACTTTGAAGGTAGCTTAAAAACTGTAACTTTCCTGTGGTTGATATGATAAATCAAAAGAGCTTTGGAAGACATGTTATGTATTCGTAGAGAATTGCAGTCAAGAGAACAAGTGTATTTACATGGTTCCTAAATTTAGAGCTCTAAATCTTCATATAGATTAGTTTGGCTCTTTCTACATATATACAGAAGATGTTTTGCATGCAATGTATTATTATCTCAATAAAACAAAAGTTAAGAGAAAATAAATAAATTACAAACCTCTTTGTCTAGAAGGTTTTGTTGTTTTAATATATCATATTACAACAACAACACATAACATGATACATAGTTATTGAAGACTGAGATACAATAATAATCTCATTTACATGATGCAAGAGACAAAGATATGAACCGAAAACATAGTTTATCTTCGATAATGGTGAAGCTATGGCCATCAAGCTCTTTCCCGATCACTAATCAGAATACCCTTGACCTTCCTGTCAAAACCAAATCACAAAACTATCATATAGATAAAATAACTCAATTGATCGACCTAAAAGCAGGAAGATTTTTATATACCGATTGGGATATATAAAAGTAACAGTAAACGAAATCGAATCAAGTTAAAGAGAAACCCAATTCGTAAACATATCAATCGACGAAACCCTAAATTCGGGAGGTTTGATCTCTCGTGTAACAGTAATCGAAATCAAGTAATTCATAAACAGATAAATCTTTGGAATTCAGAAGCGGATCAGATCAAATTACGTATTTGAAATTGGATAATTCAGGAGAAATCAACACAATTTAGAAGAAGGGTTTTAGTTTTACCTAACGAAGAGATTTGAGAGGTTGTTTGTTGATTTTCGAATCCATTCAGGCCAGATTACGTTGTTGAAACCGAAGAATTCATGAGAAATAGATACAAATTAGAAGAAGGATTTGTACCCAGCGAAGAGTTTTGAGAGGTTTTGTTCAAGTCGATGAAGAAGAAGAAGAAGAAGAAGAAGAAGAGAGCTCTCTCATGGGCAAGAGTTATCTGAAATTTGAAAACACACCGCCTCGTAGTTCTCTGATACCCGTTAGAACTTTAATCGACAGAGATTTGTTATTATAACGTTCTTCTTCAAAACGGCTATTATTCCCGGTTTACATCTTGAATTTTGGTTACGTGAACCGGTGTTGCTCGAGTTAAACCGGTGGTACCTGGATTTTATCGAATATAATTTTGAATAATGTTTTCTTTTTAAAAGGTTTTATTTTTCCCACCGATATACACAAATACTCTAATCACATATCTTGTTTAGTTGTTTCAAAATTCATCATCTCTCTCGCATTGATTTTTTCTTCTAACTCTCAAAGAATCGCCGAAAGAAGAGAGATCAAGAAATAGTCATGGTGTCATCGCCACGGAGTGAATCTACCTCCGGCAACAACAATACAACCACTCCCGATGGAATCAGCGGCAAGAGAACTCCTTCCTCTTCTTCTTCCGAAGATAAATCTCCTTCATCCAAACGCCCAAAGGTTTCTGATCGGAGACCTTACTTCTTCCCCATCTTTCCGTGCCATCTGGAGCTTCTGGTTTGAAATATTTAGGGCGATTTTGGGGATTTCCGTTTTCGTTTCAGTTGGGAGATGGCGGCGGCGCTTCTATCGAGAACAGTGAACCTCCAACCTCCGGAGAAGCCAAGATTGCGGCGGAACCACCACCACCTCCTGTTGCGGAAGGTCCGTCGTCACTCTTGATTATTGTTCGATCTTTCTGCGTTTTGAAATTGGATTCTCAAATTGATTTTGGATTGTTTATAATCTTCTAGGCTCAACACCAGATAGTTCTTTTTCCGGCTGGAAATATCAACACAGTACATTTAAGACTCCATGGTGTCGATTGCTATCAGAGTCTGCACAGGTTTGATTTTAACCTCTCTATCTTTCTATGGACAAAAAAGAGAGAATTTTTTTTAGGTTTTAATGCTTTTATCCTGACAAATTGATGAATTTTTCAGCATCCAAACGTTAACATTTCTACATCGTCCTTCACTATTGGTTCTTGTCTAACCTCCAACCTCACATTAAAAGATCGGAATCTTGGTGCATTATTGTGCAAGATCACAAGAATTCAGGTTAATTTTGTAATCAAGATCCTTTGATAATCGTCACATTTTATTGTGCACTGCTGGAGTTTGTGGAGTGTGGGAGATATGCAGTATGTATTCTCATTGTTTGTGCACATGTTCAGCGCAAAGGCAATGTTGTAGCGGTTCTAGATATCACAGGAACCGGGGGACCTGTGCGGATAAATGGAGCACTTGCTAACAAGAATGTCAGCCATGTCCTACACTCTGGTGACGAATTGGTTTTTGGTGACGCATTCGCTTTCGTATCCTCATGTGATCCTACCTTTTTTGTCCTTCAGTTTTAACATGTGTATCCAGATATGTTATCAGATGTCTGAATTACACATAAGTTTTCCCATTAAGTTCTATCCAGATATATCAGCAGATGTCTAAAGTTGCAGTCAAATCTGGTGGGGAACAGGTTCCTGCAGCAAAATTTCTAAAATTAGAGAGACAGGCAAGAGATCCATCAAGCGTTTCGATTTTGGCATCGCTTGAAATCTCGCGTGAGAATCCTGCTACTTCTGGCGTCCAAGAAGACCCAGAGCTTGAATTTGACAATCAAAGTAATAAAGCTGCAGACAGTGGAGTAGTCAGCAGCCACAACCAATATTCCAAAATGGAGGTAATTACTCTATCTTTCCCTTGGACCCTGGCGTCATCAGCACTATATTAACAAAGCTGGTATCAGATATTAGATGAGAAAAACGAGGTGACAAGGTGGCCAGAACAAGCTGCAAGATTCAGGAAATATATTCAAGCTGGTATTGTTGACAGCGAAAGATTGGAATTTTCATTCGAAAATTTTCCTTATTATTTGAGGTATTTATGCAGAGTTAAGATATGTGCATGTGAATTTTCCATTATGAATCTGTTTATTATCATCATAGAATATTTAGGTCTAATTTTGCTCTCACTTTTTTTTCTTCTGACTTTGAATTATCAGAAATTTTAATTCCCTTCCTGAAGTATTAAACTAAGAAAATATGAGTATTTATCCTTCCCGTAGCAGTCTTTCACACGAATCATATTGCATGGGTACTGTTCTATGTTTGGTTTATGCTGAGTAAGGTCTTTCTGTTTTATTTTTGCAGTGAGAATACAAAGAATGTTTTACTAGCTGTTTCACATATACATCTGAACAAAGAGAATACAGGATATGCCCTATATGCCTCCGACTTTACCACTTTGAATCCAAGGATATTGCTTTCTGGTCCTGCAGGTTTGTGGTATCTTGCTTGTGTGGTTCCTGTACTTCTTTTAGGCGGAAATATCATTTTCTCTTTTTGGTTGGAATTGTCTCAGGAACTGAAATATACCAAGAGATATTAGCTAAAGCACTTGCCAATTACTTCAAGGCGAAATTGCTAATATTTGACGGCCATCCAATTTTGGGGGTAAGATAGTGTATGTGTTTCTTAAATATCACATCCGAGGAAGCTGTTTATGAAAATTTAATGTTGGTTAGTTACAAGTATGATGATATGCTTGTTAGTTTACAAGAGGAAAGGTTTTGCATCTACACTTATTTATCTGTTTTCCTGACAACTGGTATGATATTACCATGGGTGCAACCGTACTGCAATTTCCTGCAGGTTATGACTGCTGAAGAATTTGAGTCACTGATGAATGGACATGCTTCTAAAAAGCTCATTGACCGAGGGAAAAGATTGGATTTGTCAGCAGGTGAAGGAGATTCATCTGGCCCTTCTCCTGCTACTTCTCCCGGTCCAGACTCACAGCCTAAGTTTGACCCGGAGACTTTACCTTGTTCATTTGGAACTCCAATGAATCATACTTTGAAGAAAGGCATGCCCCTTTATATTGTTTGCAACAGAAGAATGTTCTTCAATCTTCTTAGATTTCTGGTTTACTGATACTTCATTGGGAAAAAACACTTGCAGGTGACAGGGTAAGATTCTTTGGTGATGAGTTGTTTCCCGGGCTACCTACCTCAAGGTTTGCTTCTTATGATAGTTCTGATGGAGGCAGCTGCTGAGACTGATATTGGCTTCTATATAGTATGACTATGAATATTTGTTGGTTCTGGTGAAGAAAGTGTTGTCTTCTTTTATAAGAAAAATTGCAAATAATTTATTGATGAATTACTTTTATTTACATCCAAGAATTATATCTCTTTCGAAAAATCTATTTCCTATCTTATAATTTTATCTTCTGAACTTTTTCTCATGTCTTTTTATAGTCACTCTTTGACTTAATGATCCACTTTTTACTTAATCTTATTCAGGGGACCACGTTATGGGATTAGAGGGAAAGTACTTTTAGTATTTGATGAGAATCCTTCAGCTAAAGTGGGTGTTAGATTTGAGAATCCAGTACTTGATGGAGTTGATCTTGGTGAACTGTGTGAAATGGGACATGGGTTCTTCTGCAGTGGTAGGTCATGTTCAGTAGTGCATTGGTTACTGGTCCTCAGCAGCTCTTGTCTCACACACTATTTCGTCTGATTTTTTATATAGCTACTGATCTTCAGTTCGAAAGCTCGGGTTCTGAGGATCTAAATGAATTACTTGTTAGCAAATTGTTTGAGGTACTTGTCAGTTGCAAAGTAATGAATTTTTTCTTCGTCTTATACTTAGTCTAATAGTTCGTCTGTTTCCAGGTTGCCCATGAAGAGAGCAGGACTTGTCCGGTTATTCTATTCCTGAAAGATGATGAGAAAAATTTTGTTGGAAATTCCGATTTCTGCTCTGCATTCAAAAGCAAAGTTGAAGAAATCCCAGATAACGTAATTGTGATCTGTTCACAGACACACTCTGATAATCACAAGGAGAAGGTAGTTATTATGAGATGCTTTTGCTTCAGTTGCATGCATTAATAATCATTCTAGCTACTGCATTTTCCGTGTTTCAGTGGTTGAAGTAGACTTTTAATGTTGTATGTTCACTAATTCATTACATGTAGGCTTTAACCTTTTGACCATACTGCGATATTAATCTGGTGTCTAGTGCACTGGGAAAACTTCTTGTGCTCCTCTTGTAACTGTTATCAGTTCTGTTTTCTAGTCGGCTTTCAATTCTGCATTTTTCCTTTTACATATTTGATACGGAAGGTATCCCATTTCTTCTCGAGTGGGACTAATGTTACCTTTTGCTTAATATTCCCAGGATATTGGATTTCTAACGAATCTCTTTGGGAATAAAGTTACCATTTACAAGCCACAGGTCTGTTACTCTGTTCTAGTAGACGTAAGCACTCTCGTCTGTTGTCTGTCAAAAAAACCTTCAAGACTTGATGGAGCTAATTATTACTAGGGTGAGGATCTTCTTAAATCTTGGAAGTATCATTTGGATCGTGATGCTGAGACTTTGAAAACAAAGGCTAATCACAATCACTTGCGCATGGTATGTCTTTCATCTGAAATCTGAGTATACGGTATCGGTATACTTTTGGCTGTATTCTTGGATTTAATATGTAATTAGAAAAAAGTTCATGGTAGCATTTTATGTCTGGATACAGAATAAGTTTTACATATGATGGGTGGGATTGAACTTGATTTTCAATCTCAGTGAGAAATCTTTAATTTTCTTAGATACATTCCTGATTTGCATATCTAGCTTCAAAAATTTAAAGCTAAATTATATATGTGGCATTTTGGCTGTTAGACGTAATTGTGGAGGCACAACTGCAGAGATAGCGCATCATTAAAGTCTATAACTCCAACTTTCCTCTATTTTCAAAATTTGATTGCTAGAATCACAAGTCACACGAAAATAAATTCTTGATAGTATACCTTATAGAATATGTTACTTTTTCTCTGGTGTACAAGATTATCTGTTTTTCATATGGCACAATTCCATTCCCTGTTTTAAAACAGGGGCATTACAGAAGCTTTAATAAAGAATCCATAATTGCATCTCAATTTAGGTGTTGGGACGATTTGGTATAGATTGTGAAGGCATTGAGACGCTGTGCATGAAGGATCTCACACTTCAAAGAGACAGTATGTTTTCCCTTTTGTTCGGCATGATGACCAGAGTTGACAATGGAATGCTTTTCGAAAAAGTTGACTTTGGATATCTGCATCAGGTGCAGAAATGATCATTGGATGGGCTCTTAGTGACCATATAAAGTGTAATCCTGATGCTGATCCCGATGTTAGTGTCACTTTGTCTCTTGATAGGTAATTGGTAGCTTGTCCCTGTGCATTACATATCTGTTTCAGTATTGACTATTGACTATTGAGTATGAACTTTGGATCCTTTCAGCTTAAAATGTGGAATAGAACTCTTTCAGGCTCTTCTAAATGAAACTAAGAGCCAGAAGTCTCTCAAGGTTAGCTAACCGTCTTGGAAATTGAATTGTTTTTTACTTAATTTCACTATGGCAATTCCTCCTATATTGTAACAATTGTTAATTTTCTCTCTTGCTTTCAGGACATTGTGACAGAAATTGATTTTGAGATAAGTGATGTTATCCCGCCCAGTGACATTGGTGTTACATTTGATGACATTGGGGCACTTGAGAATGTCAAAGACACTTTAAAGGAATTGGTTATGCTTCCTTTAAAATGGCCTGAACTTTTCTGCCAGGGGCAATTAACAAAGGTGGTTATCTTATCTTATCCGCATTATGTTTTAGAAAAATCCCATAATGTTTTACTATCGCCTGCTTCGAATTGATCACAGATGGATCACCTTTTATTTGTGTGTGCCCATACATGTTCATAAGTTTTGTGAAGTAATGATGATATTAGTAATACTAGCTGATAGTTTGGCTTTCCTCAAAAACTTTCCCTCCTATAATTTAGTTGTTAACGTTATGCATTGGTGGCTTCCTAATCAGTCTGCTCTTGTACTTCTCTATGCAGCCTTGTAAAGGAATTCTCTTATTTGGACCTGCTGGAACTGGAAAGACCATGCTTGCAAAGGCAGTGGCAACGGAAGCTGGTGCTAATTTGATCAACATCTCAATGTCAAGGGTAACAGAATATCCTTGAAAAGTTGGACTCTACCAATTTATACACGGAATCTCTTGTTCAAACTTGTGCTCTTCTCAATATTGTAGTGGTTTAGTGAGGGTGAGAAATATGTCAAAGCTGTCTTTTCGTTGGCCAGTAAAATCTCCCCTAGCATTATCTTTATGGACAAGGTAATTTCTCATGGTCAATTCCTGGGCGAATCTTGCCTGTAGTCAGAGCACTGACAAGTCTTACAAGATTTTACTGTCTTGTAGGTGGACAGCTTGCTATTGCAATATCAGAAGACGGCAAATGAATTCATAATAAATTGGGACGGTCTGAGGACAAAGGAAAAGGAACATGTTCTGGTTCTTGCAGCCACAAATAGACCTTTTGACCTTGATGAGGATGTCATTAGAAGGTTGCCTCATAGGTAATTTATAAATAGCTTCCTTGTTGGACTAAGCTATCTGTCAAATTGACATGTCGTAAAAAGTTTGTGGTATTGACTTGTGCAGGTTGATGGTGGGACTACCAGATGCTCTGAATAGAGCAAAGATATTGAAGGTTATACTTGCAAAAGAAGACTTGTCCCCTGATTTTGATATCGATGCAGTTGCTAGTATGACTAATGGATATTCTGGAAACGATCTTAAGGTAAAATTCCTAGTAATTCCTTTAACCTTTTGTTTTGGTCTGTCGAAATGATAAGAAATGCGAAGTAATGCTCATATATTTCCATGTTACATGCTTTTTTGGTGCGTGCAGAATCTATGTGTTACTGCTGCCCGCCGTCGAATCAAGGAGATAGTGGAGAAAGAAAAAAGTGTAGGTCGTCTTTGTGTTAAACCAAGAAAACTTACCTTATGCTGCCTAAAACTTCTCTATAGAAGAAAAATATGCTTATGATGGGATATGATATTATGGTAGGAGCGAGATGCTGCTCTGGCTGAAGGAAGAGTTCCTCCAGCACGAAGTGGAAGTTCTGATATCCGAGCTTTAAACATAGAGGATTTCAGAAACGCACTTGAGCTGGTATGATTTTTACTTGTGAGCTTTCTTTTCTCATCTGTCTCTGGCTCAGAGAACTCTGTATAACTGTTGTCAATGTTGTTGAATCAGGTGAGTATGAGCGTCTCATCAGAGTCTGTGAACATGACATCGCTTCAAAAATGGAACGAACATTACGGGGAAGGTGGATCCAGAAAGCAGCAACCATTCGACCACTACACGTAGGATATCATCTACTTTAGAAGCAGAATGTGTTGTATATTTTGTTCACGTGAATATATAGATAGTCATAAAACAGTATAATGATAGTGAGTTCTGATAGAATAACCGGTGTTTAGTCGGAGTTTTGATACAAACCGGTCAGGTTCGGTCACCTTGATTTTGATTACGATTAGTGAGTTTTCTGCTACTTAACAACGTATTAGCTGGAATATATGCAAGATTCCCTACAATAGCAAAATATGTTTTGTAAATAAAGTTTAATTTGATCTTCTCTGATTACACAACGTCGAGCAAGTTAGCAAGAAATAGAGCGAGTCGACTAAACCGAAGTATATTGATCATCCGGTTTGGTTTGATTGAATTTGAGCGACACGCAGTTCAGCTCCATAACTTGGATTCGGCAAGCAGTTCACACAGATGTATATAACTGTGGCGACGCTTCTTCCCCACAGAGAGGAAACAGCGAAGCGAAAAGCTTGGAGGCTCACAAAGGTTAGAGCTTTATTCAATTTCTCGAATTGAATCAGCTTTAGCACACTCTGCGTTGTCTTTGTAATGTATTCTCTGATTCTCCATGGAAGAAAGTTGGTCCAGTTGCATAAATGGTGTCATTTGAGTGTTTCGGTGAATCTTTTCCAAGATGGATCTGCTTTTTCCAATTCCTTCTCCTCCGCTGCTAGTGCTTCTGATGTGAGTCATATAGTTGGTCGAAAAGGAAACAACTTTACAGTCTCTTACCTCGTTGATTCATTGGGTTTACCTAACAAGCTCGCAGAATCTATTTCAAGGAAAGTCGGCTTCGAGGACAAGGCCAATCCTGATTCTGTTCTGAGTCTTTTGAGAAGTCATGGGTTCACTGATTCTCAGATCTCAAGCATCATTACGGATTATCCACAATTGCTTATAGCTGATGCTGAGAAATCACTTGGTCCCAAGCTTCAGTTTTTGCAGTCCAGAGGAGCTTCAAACCCCGAGCTCACTGAGATTGTTTCTGCAGTTCCGAAAATCTTGGGAAAGAAAGAGGGAAAATCTATCAGCGCATACTATGATTTCGTCAAAGTCATTATAGAAGCAGATAAGAGTTCCAATTTGGGAAGGATATGTCATTCTTTGCCAGAGGGTAGTAAGCAGGAGAATAAAATTAGAAATGTTTTGGTTTTGAGAGAATTGGGGGTGCCTCAGAGGGTTTTATTCTCATTGCTTCTATCCGATGGCAGACATGTTTGTGGAAAAGAAAAATTTAAAGAATCACTCAAGAGAGTTGTTGAGATGGGTTTTGATCCAACCACCTCAACGTTTGTCGAAGCTCTCAAGGTTCTTTACACATTGAGCGACAAAGGAATTGAAAGTAAATTCAATGCCTGTAAAAGGTTAGGCTTGGCTGTGGGCGATGTATGGGCAATGTTCAAGAATTGGCCAAACATTCTGACACAGTCTGAGAAGAAGATAGAGAACTCCATTGAAACATTTCTAGGTCTAGGATTCACCAGAGATGAGTTTTTGATGATGTTCAAGCGTTTTCCTCAGTGCATTGGATTTTCGACAGAGTTGGTGAAGAAGAAGACTGAGTATCTGGTGAAGGAGATGAATTGGCCACTTAAGGCTGTGGCTTCAATCCCTCAGGTACTTGGATACAGCCTAGAGAAGAGGACTGTCCCAAGGTGTAATGTAATCAAAGTTCTCATCTCAAAAGGATTGCTTGGAAGTGAATTCCCTCCAATATCATCTGTTTTGACAAGTCCTAGGGAGAAGTTTTTAAATTGTTATGTTAGGAAACATGATGACAAGCAGCTTGTGGCTGGGTTGATGGTTATCTTCACTGGAGATCGTGTTTCACTCACCGATCAGAAGACACGCCTAGAACAATGAGCAACGTTAAGGATTGTTTTTTGTTTTCTTTTAGGTTTAGTAGATTCATTAGTGAATCTTGATGCTTGACTGTGGGAAGTAGAGAATAGCTTTTGTGTATGAGTGTCTGAAACCCATTTAGACTTTTGTAATCTTAAGTTGACCCGGATCCAACCCTTTTCCTTCTATTATGGTATCCGTTTGGGACAATAACGAATTGTAAATTTGAATCTCTTTGTTTTTGGAGTCCTTTTAACTCTTCAGCATCGCTAGTCTAGAAACAGCAACACAACTATTTACTACATGACATTTGTGGCTTATTGGTAGAACTAGAATAAAGATCCAGAGGTTTTGGATTGTATGAACCCGAATACTTTTAACTCTGAAGGATGATGAATCAGTCTTGTACGAAACAATCTTCACAATTAGGAATATATCTTTGAATCCCTTCTCCAATATACTAATTTCAGGTTTGTAGTCTAGAGACAACAATGCAGCCAAATAGCTGAAGGGGACATGTGAATCCAAATGATATATTTGCTAATTTTGTTTTTCTAAAATCATTAATTCTTTGAATTTGTAGTGACCTTGTTTGTCTGGGAGGTATGTGTGAACATTTCAACACTTTCTTATATTCTGTTTGATGAACTTATCGTCCTTTCTTGATATATATTTACTTTAATTTCTGTAATCACATATCCTGTTTCGACAATGTGTGTTTCTTTTTGTTAACTATGATTTTGGATATGCAGTTATTGACTAGGTTTTTGCTGATGGACCTAACGGCTCTCTATGACTGATATTAGTATGAGCTTTAGAGGAGTTTTGCAGGTTAGAGGAAGACACTCTTGTGTGCATACATTGGGAGTTTATTTCTCAGTCCTCCTGCAACACAACTTCAGTAAGAGTCATATGCCTCTTTCAATCGTTCGAGTCATTGCTTGGATCATCAGAAGATGGAAGCAACAGAAGGCAGCTCGTATGTGAACACTTGAGATGAGTTTTGAGTCTGCAATAAACTTATATCAAGTTGCATTCTTGAGACTGCTCATGTAAAAAACCGGAATACGTGAATATGTTTCTCTGTTTCTTTTTCCAGTCATGTTTCCATTGGAAGCTAACATGATGGAATTAGTGTTTTCTGAGAGAGTGAATGTGTGTATGGATTTATTCTCCAAGAGGGGTTTGGTGATAAGTTGTATGTTTTTTGTTCCCTTGGTGTCCTAACTAGCAGCCGGGACCGGTTTCTTGGCTATTCAAGGATCACTACACGCACTACGGTCCTGTGTGTTGTCTTGGCAATTCATAATTTGCAATTTTGAGGATCATTCTATTCATAAAGCGATGACATTTGCATAGTAAGAGCTACAACGGGTAAATGCAAAAACATGCTCTTGTATCTCTATAGGTTTAAAGTTTCTATGTTGTTGTTACATCTTCTAATACTTCAGGATGTTGTTGTTGTGAGACAAAACAAGTAAAGCCAAATAATAGTGTTAAATTTTTAATTTCGAATTAAAAAAAACGAGGGCTTTGCCTAAACCCTAAAGAGCTCTTTTTTTTTTTTTCCTCACACTTTTAACTATCTATGAGAAGTGTCACTGATCGATGAATGAATTTGCTCTTCTTCCTCGCACGATTCTTCTTCTTCTTGAATCGAAACTGATAGTTGGGTAGAATCGCATTTTCTGTGTCATGTATTCTGTGATACTCCATGGAAGAAGGTTAGTCCAGTTGCAGAAATGGCGTAACTTGAGATTTGTTGTGCAAAATGGATCAGCTTTTTCGAATTCATACTCCTCTGCTAGTGCTTCTGATGTGAGCTCAAAAGATGGTCGAAAAGGTAACAACTTTACAGTCTCTTACCTCGTTGATTCATTGGGTTTAGCTAAAAAGGTCGCAGAATCGATCTCCTTGAAAGTCAGTTTCGAGAACAAGGTCAATCCTGATTCTGTTCTGAGTCTTTTGAGAAGTCATGGGTTCACTGATTCTCAGATCTCCAACATCATTACGGATTATCCTAGGTTGCTTATATTAGATGTTGAGAAATCCCTCGCTCTCAAGCTTCAGTTTTTGCAGTCCAGAGGAGCTTCAAGCCCTGAGCTCACTCAGATTGTTTCTACAGTTCCTAAAATATTGGGAATGAAAGAGGGAAAATCTCTCAGCAGATACTATGATTGCGTCAAAGAGATTATAGAAGCGGATAAGAGTTCCAAGTTCGAAAAGTTATGTCAACCTTTGCCAGAGGCTAATAGGCAGGGGAATAAAATCAGAAATGTTTCGGTTCTTCGAGACTTGGGTGTGCCTCAGAGGTTGTTATTCTCCTTGCTCATCTCTGATGCCCAACCTGTTTGTGGAAAAGAAAATTTTGAAGAATCACTCAAGAAGGTTGTTGAGATGGGTTTTGATCCAACCACCTCAAAGTTTGTCCAAGCTATTAGGGTTGTTTACAGATTCACCGACAAAACAATAGAAGAAAAAGTCAATGTCTACAAAAGGTTAGGCTTTGCTGCGGAAGATGTATGGGCAATGTTCAAGAAGTGTCCTTACTTTTTGAATAGTTCGGAGAAGAAGATAGGTCAGACAATTGAAACCCTGAAGAAGTGTGGACTACTCGAAGACGAGGTCCTCTCAGTGTTGAAAAAGTATCCGCGATGCATTGGTACTTCAGAGCAGAAGATATTGAGCTCCATTGAAACATTTCTCGGCCTAGGCTTCAGCAGAGATGAGTTCACGACAATGGTCAAGCGCTTTCCTCAGTGTCTTATTTTATCTGCAGAGACGGTAAAGAAGAAGACTGAGTTTGTGGTGAAGAAGATGAATTGGCCACTGAAGGATGTGGTTTCAAACCCTACGGTACTTGGATACAGCCTCGAGAAGAGAACTGTCCCAAGGTGTAATGTTATTGAAGCTCTCATGTCAAAAGGATTGCCCGGAAGTGAACTCCCTCCAATGTCGTCTGTTTTAGTATGTACCGATGAGTTGTTCTTAAACAGGTATGTGAGAAACCATGATGACAAGGAGCTGGTGCCTGAGTTGATGGCTATTTTCACCAGAAGTCGTGTATCATCATAGATCAGAAGGCTTGTCAAGGATTTTGCTTTTATTTTTGAATATCTGACACCGTAAATTTAGATGTAATTTTGAATCTATTTCCTGATATATTACTAAGTTTTGCATCCTAGAAACAGCAATGCAGCAAAATCACAGACTTGTGAATCCAAACTATGTCTTTGCTGATTTTAATGTTCTATATCATTTATCTTCTGAATGTTTGGTGACCTTGTTTGGCTGGACTCTTGAAGTTTAAACTCAAGTCGTATAAGAGACAGTCAAGTTTATGTTTTTGAATCTCATGTATTATCTGATTTCAGTATCATGTATTGGATCATGGTTTTTGGAACTGCAGATATGGATTGGAATGATGCAATGCAGCTCCTGAGCTCTTGGATTGGTCATGTAAGCCTTTTTCATTTCTTTATTAGTGTTTGATCTTTGGTCTTCCCTGAGAGCTTTAATTTCACTAAATTCCTTATCGTTTTTGGATTCGAGCCAAAATCCTTGCTACGTAGAGATTCTTTTCCAAGTGATTTGCTTTGTCTCTGTCACAAGTTCTTGGATCATATGATTCATCTGATTTGTGGAATGTTTTTTTTAATTAGATTTGTAATCTTTGTCTTCACTTGATTGAATATCCCTGAGACACTTGAAAGCTATCTCCTGTCATTAGGACTCATAAATCATTGTCATCCAATTGATGGTTGTAATGTTCGGAATCTAGCTATTGTTATGGAAACCGAAGATGCTTAAAACCTTTTAAAGGTTGTTGAGCTTCACTAAGTTAGTATACACAATGAATTTTGTTTCTCTACTATATTGGAGAATTCCATTATATGTACTATGATCCTAGAAACCGTGCCAGGTGTACATTATTTGAGGTATGAAGTTATGGTATCTTTCTTCTATTCGACTTTCGGTTTCTTTGCATACTCATTTGGCTTGGAGACTTTATGAAAGAACTTGCTTTGGTAGGAAAGACAAATGCACAAACCACTTTATCTTGGTATTTTCTTGGGGTATTTTAGACGCAATCTTAAGGATAAATTGCCGATTTTATCGTGTCTCCATTGGCGAGATAAGACCTAAAATGCTCGCTTAAAAAAAACTTTACAGAAACCCCAAAGAAGTCAGTGTATCCTATCAAAATATGCAAGATGTCGATGCCAATTCAGAGGATCAGTGACAGTTACTGCAGCCACACAATCTGACCAAATCTCAAAAACCTCTAGGTCTCGTAAACTTTGGAATGCCTATAGGATGCATCTTAACTCTGCTGCTATCCGATTAGTTGCTGGTAAAAAAACTTCTCTCACTGTGAAAAACTGCATCTCCAATGTGATTCCATACAATCCATGATCACACATACATGTGCCATCAATCCAAGAAGAATTAACATTTTTTTTTTTTGGTCAACGAATTAACATTGCATTTAAGAATACCTATAGGGCTATTGGTGAAGAAAATTCTATGCGCATTCTACAACGAAGAATCATAAACAAAATCAGGGTTTTGAGCCTAAACCCTAAAACCCAATTCCAAATTTAGCTTCTTTTTGATTTTGGATTTTGTGAGTGAAGAGAGAAGCGAATTCTTGAATAGTCAACCACCCATCGATCTTTGGCGGCACTCGATATATGGGTCACTGGGCGATCAGATTGATCGCTTCAACATAGTTTGATAATCACTTGTCGATCCTAGTCCCGTCATGTATTCTCTGATACTCCATGGAAAAAGGTTGGTCCAGTTGCAGAAATGGCGTCATTTGAGCGTTTCAGTGAACTTTCTCGAAAATGAATCTTCTTTTTCCAATTACTTCTCCTATGCTAGTGCTACAGATGCGAGCCTTAGAGCTGGTCGAAAAAGGTTGAATTTTTCTGTCTCTTACCTCGTTGCTTCATTGGGTTTAACTAGGGAAGTCGCAGAATCGATCTCAAGGAAAGTCTGTTTGGTTGACAAGGGCAATCCTGACTCTGTTCTGAGTCTTTTGAGAAGTCATGGGTTCATAGATTCTCAGATATCAAGCATAGTAACGGATTATCCACAATTGCTTGTAGCAGATGCTGAGAAATCACTTGCTCCCAAGCTTCAGTTTCTGCAGTCCAGAGGAGCTTCAAGCTCTGAGCTCACTCAGATTGTTTCTTCAGTTCCTAAAATCTTGGGAAAGAAAGGAGACAAAACTATCAGCATATATTATGATATCGTCAAAGAGATTATAGAAGCGATAAGAGTTCCAAGTTCGAAAAGTTATGTCATTCTTTTCCACAGGGTAGTAATCTGGAGAACAAGATCAGAAATGTTTCGGTTCTGAGAGAGTTAGGTGTGCCTCAGAGGGTTTTATTCTCCTTGCTCATATCTGATCACCAACCTGTCTGTGGAAAAGAAAATTTTGAAGAATCACTCAAGAAAGTTATTGAGATGGGTTTTGATCCGACCTCCTCAAAGTTTGTCGAAGCTCTAAACGTTGTTTATAGATTGAGCGACGAAACAATAGAAGAAAAAGTTAATGTCTGTAAAGGGTTAGGCTTTTCTGTGGGAGATGTATGGGAAATGTTCAAGAAGTGGCCTTGCTTTCTGAATAACTCGGAGAAGAAGATACGTCAAACATTTGAAACCCTGAAGAAGGTGTGGACTACCTGAAGACGAGGTCCTCTCACTGTTGAAGAAGTTTCCACAATGCATTAACGCTTCAGAGCAGAAGATATTGAACACCATTGATACATTTTTAGGCCTAGGATTTAGCAGAGATGAGTTTGCAATGATAGCCAAGCGCTTTCCTCCATGCCTTATTTTATCTGCAGAGACGGTGAAGAAGAAGACTGAGTTTGTGGTAAAGATGATGAATTGGCCACTAAAGGCTGTGGTTTCAACCCCTGCGGTACTTGGATACAGCCTCGAGAAGAGGACTGTACCAAGGTGTAATGTAATTAAAGCTCTCATGTCAAAAGGATTACCCGGAAGTGAACTGCCTCCAATGTCGTCTGTTTTGGTATGTACCAATGAAGAATTCTTAAACAGGTATGTGAGGAACCATGAAGACAAGGAGTTGGTGCCTGAGTTGATGACTATTTTCGCCGGAGGTCGTGTGTCATAGATCAGAAGGCTTGTCAAGGATTTTTCTTTTATTTTTGAATATCTGAAACCTTGAATTTAGACTTCTTAAGCAATCCGACTTGGAACAGTAACTTTAGATGTAATTTTGAATCTATTTTCTGATATATTACTAAGGTTTGCATCTTGGAAAGAGCAATGCAGCGAAATCACAGACTTGTGAATCCAAACTATGTATTTGCTGAATCCAAATCATTTATCTTCGGAATCTTTGGTGACCTTGTCCGTCTAACTCTTGAAGTTTAAACTCAAGACGTATAAGAGACAGTCAAGGTTCTGTTTCTGGATCTGTGCTCTTTTTACCAAAGTCTTCATTTTTTAAAAACCCTGTGAATTGTACTGTAATTTGGATCATGTATTATCTGATTTCAGTATCATGTATTGGATCATGGTTTTTGGAACTGCAGATATGGATTGGAATGATGCAGTGCAGCTCCTTAGCTCTTGGATTGGTCATGTAAGCCTTTTTCGTTTCTTTATTAGTGTTTGATCTTTGGTCTTCCCTGAGAGTCTTTAATTTCACTAAATTCCTTATCGTTTTTGGATTCGAGCCAAAATCCTTTTATGATACTTCAAAACCTTGCTATGTAAAGATTCTTTTCCAAGTGATTTGCTTCGTCTCTGTCACAAGTTCTTGGATCTAATGATTTATCTGATTTGTGGAATATTCGTTTTTGTCAGATTGGTAATGTTGGTCTTACTTGATTGGATATCACTTTGAAAGCTATCTTTTTTCATTAGGACTCATAAATCATTGTCATCCAATCGATGGTCGTAAAATCCGGAATCTAGCTATCATAGTGGAAACCGAAGAATCCTAAGACCTTATAAAGGTTGTTGAGCTTCACTAAGTTGGTCTACACACTGAAGTTTCCCTAGGATTATTGAAGAAACCCAATGATATGATCCTAGAAATTGTGTAGGTGCAATGTTATTAGATGTATGAAGGATTCTTCATTTCACCCTGAATGTATATTACTTTAGAGTTTCTTTCATCTTCTGACAACACTTGAAATACTTGAAATCCAAAAATTTCAGGACGAGAAGGGAGAAATAACATTTTTACCGAGGCTCACTTGACTGAAGCATTAACAGCTGTTGGTTTGCAATCAATTCTTTAATCGGATTATTCAAATAGGTGAAGGCAGACATGAACCTGATCTGTTGATATGGTTCCCTTGTTAAAAAGGGTAATCTACACGTTTAGAATGGTACGCCAAAACTATGGTAAGCGCTTCAAGCGCTTGAAGTTCCTGTGAGAGGGCGAAAAAGAAGAATGAGTTTGTGGTGAAGAAGATGAATTGGCCACTAAAGGCTCTGTTTTCGAACCCACAGGTACTTGGATTAAGCATGGAGAAGAGGATTGTACCAAGATGTAACGTTATCAAAACTCTCATGTCCATAGGATTGCTCGGAAGTGTAGGAGCTTATGGTTGAGCTGATGGCTATCTCCAATATCCTCTGTTTTGAACACTACCGATCAAATGTTTTTAAAAAGGCATATAAAGCACGATGACAAGGAGCTTATGGTTGAGCTGATGGCTATCTTCAATGAAGGCACACACGGCACCATTCATAAAAACGTCAAGGATTGTACTATTCTGTTGGTTTTAGATTCATCGCCGGCGCGGCCTAGAGAGCTTTTGTGTATAAACTTTAGTTTGTAGGTTTTGGTAATCTCAATTAGACTTGGATTCTATCCTACGTTCCCATTCCTTTATGCAATTCAACTTGGATAAACTTCAATATGCGAATAGCCAACGTTTTTTTTTTTTTACAGCAAAATAAGTTCGTCCAAAAATATAGAAATTGTGTTAAGTAACAGAAATAAACTGTATTCATTTTTATTATTTGATTTTGATTTGTGTAGTCTGTTAAAGGAAACGTAGCATAAAGTTTACTTACTGAATATCATAGACGTCATTCCATTTGCCAAATCTTGATTATTTTATTCTAATGAACAATCATATAAACCCTAAACCCTCATTTTGAGTCGACGACCACTGCATTGTTATGTCTTCTCTGATACTCCACCATGGAAGGTCTCTTAAGTTACTACACAAGTGCCCTAATTTGAGAGTCTCAGTGCAAAATCCATTTTCTTTTTCCAATTCCTTCTCTTCTACTAGTGCAAAAGATGGTCGAAAAGGTCAGATTTTCACTATCTCTTACCTCATTGATTCATTGGGTTTAACCGCAAAACTCGCTGAATCGATCTCGAGGAAAGTCAGTTTCGAGGAGAGGAGAAATCCTGACTCTGTTCTGAATCTTTTTAGAAGTTATGGTTTCACAGATCCTCAGATCTCAAGCATCATTACTGATTATCCACGATTGCTTATAGTAGATGCTAAGAAGTCTCTTGGTCACAAGCTTCAAGTTTTGCAGTCTAGAGGAGCTTCAAGCTCTGAGCTCACTGAGACTGTTTCTAAAGTTCCTAAAATCTTGGCATTGAAAGGGGACAAAACTATAAGCAGATACTATGATTTCGTCAAAGAGATTATCGAAGCGGGTAAGAGTTCTAAGTTTGAAAAGTTATGTCATTCTATGCCACAGGGTATGCAAGAGAATAAAATCCGTAATTTATCGGTTTTGAGAGAACTTGGCGTGCCTCAGAGGTTATTATTCCCTTTGCTCATTTCTGATCGTAAACTTGTATGTGGAAAAGGAAAATTTGAAGAATCTCTTAAGAAGGTTGTTGAGATGGGTTTTGATCCGACAACCTCAATGTTTGTCGATGCTCTGCGTGCTGTTCAAGGAATCAGCGAGAAAGAAATAGAAGAAAAGGTCAGTTTCTATAAAAGGTTAGGCTTTGATGTGGGAGATGTATGTGAAATGTTCAAGAAGTATCCAGTCTCTATGAGATTATCCGAAAAGAAGATAACTCAGAAGTGTGAAACCTTGAAGAAGTGTGGACTACTCGAAGACGAGATCCTCTCAGTGTTTCCGCAATGCATTGGTGCTTCAGAGCAGAAGATAGTTAAATCCATTGAAACATTTAAAGACCTCGGATTCAACAAAGATGAGTTTGCGTTTATGGTCAAGCACTTTCCTCGGTGTCTTAACATATCCGCAGAGACGGTGAAGAAGAAGACTAAGTTTTTGGTGAAGAAGAAGAATAAGTTTATGGTGAAGAAGATGAAATGGCCACTAAAGTCTGTGGCTTTGTATCCGCAAGTACTTGGACTAAGCATGGAGAAGAGGATTGTACCAAGATGTAACGTTATGAAAGCACTCATGTCGAAAGGATTGCTTGGAAACAGAGAAAGCAAATTACCTTTAAAGGAAGCTGTCTTGTTATGTACCGATGAAGAGTTCTTAAGAATGTATGTGAGGAACCATGAAGACAAGGATCTTGTGGCTGAACTAATGGCTATCTTCAACGGAGATCGAGTTTTATAGATCAGAAGGCTTCTCAAGTATTTTGCTTTTATTTATGAATCTCTTTTCCGATATACTACTCTTGAGGTTTGAAGCCTATAAACAGCAATGTAGCCAAAGAACTCATGTGTTTATATATTTGCTAATCTAATGGATTCGAATGATGATATACTCATATGTTGGTGGATTAGTCATGTAAGCTTTTTATCATTCCTTAACTTGTGTTTGATCTTTGGTTTCTTGAGAGTCTTTGTTTGATTTATGAATAACTCGGAGAAGAAGATATGTTCAAGAAGTGGCCTTGCTTTATGAAATGTTCAAGAAGTGGCCTTGCTTTATGAATAACTCGGAGAAGAAGATGTTAGAATTGAGTCCATGATTAAATCTTCTAATATCATATGTGTTAGTTTGTATGTAAAGTCAACGGATGTAATGTGTTACATGTGACTTACCACGAACGGGTGTGAGTAAGAGACGTAACTTGTCGGAGAAGTTACAACTGTTACCAACGGTCACGTGGAGTAGTTATGTAAACATGTATATAAGTGTGTATGTCTCGTCTTAACAAAACAACAAGTTTCAGTTTAATCAAAAGAGTTATTTTTGTTCTTGTCTTCTTTACAAGAGAAGAGACAAATGTCTCTTGCACTCTGTTTCTTCTTTCTCTCAATATTCCAACAGAAGATATGTCAAACATTTGAAACCCTGAAGAAATGTGGACTAGTCGAAGATGAGGTCCTCTCACTGTTGAAGAAGTTTCCCAAATGCATTTGTACTTCAGAACAGAAGATATTGAACTGTATGGAAACATTTCTAAGTCTAGGGTTCAGCAGAGCTGAGTTCACAACGATGGTAAAGCACTTTCCTCCATGCATTGGATTATCTGCGGAAATGGTGAGGAAGAAGGCTGACTTTCTAGTGAAGAAGATGAATTGGCCACTAAATGCTCTGGTTTCAAACCCTCAGGTACTTGGATTAAGCATGGAGAAGAGGACTGTTCCAAGGTGTAACATAATCGAAGCTCTCATCCAAAGGACTGCTTGGAGAAACAGGAAGCGAACTTATGTATCAGATGTATATAAGAAACGATGTCGTTTTCTTGTACCGTTTCAATTTTCTCTATCAAGATTAGAGAACCATACTTATATATCAGATCAAGATGACTCAGTTTTAAGGTTTAAGACATGATTTTTGTCATTTTTAGTAGTGATTAGTTTAAAGATAATGATAATAATTTAATAATGAAGATTAATAAAGAAGCAGAAAATTTTATTCTGTTGCATAATTTGCATTTGGTCACGACAAAGCGATTCTTTTCTCACTTTTCTTTATCTTTGTTTTACTTCGTATCGTACCTTGTGTCCTATTTAAAATTAAATTCTGATAGGTCCATCGAAATAGTATGTGTCGATTTTGTAATCTATAACTTTAAATACTTATAGTTTTATACTTAATGGCTCTTTAAAATAAACAGTTATGCAATGAATTTGACTTTAAATCCAGTCCGTAAATAGTAATGTATACACAAAATTGGTTGTAACAAAATTTTAAAACCGGCGAAAAATTAATTGCATAAAGTACTCTAATCTCATAACGAATATTAAAGAACTATCAAATCTTTCAACTGTCGAAATAGTCGTATTAAACACATATATGTATAAACATATTATCAATCAAATAAATAATGATATAGTTTCGACAACCATGATAGAAACTAATAATTATTTATTTTATTTCATCATTACTAGTCAACCATGAGTCCATGAGTGACTAAAAACTGTAACATCTCAAATAATTTTGTTAAAATTCCTTCTCATCCATCAAATATATTTTCCAACCTATCATCATATACAATAATGTTTTTCTTTTTGCTAAATTACAAAAAAAAACACCTAAAATCCAACAAAAATAAAATAAAAAAGAAATTCAAAAACTATAGTGCAAAAGACAAAAAGGCCAAATAATAAAACAAAGAAAAAAGAAGAAATTAAAAGAAAAGAGTACTGACAAAAAGCCCAGAAATATCCTTATTACGACTCTCTTCTCTCACGCCTCCCCAAATAAAGAGAGTTCTCTATTTTAAATAATTAAACAAATAAATAAATAAAACAAATAATAATAAATGAATAAAATAAAAAGGAATTAAATTCCTCACCACATCTTCGATTTCTGTAACATCCCATTTCCAAAAACATTCCGTTTCAGCTTCAACGAAGAAGACGAAGTAGAAGAAGAAGAAGAAGAATCACAATCACTCTTTTTGAGGAAGTTAGATTCTCTCAATCTCACTGTTTAATCTCGCCGGAAAAATTATGGCTCGGCCTTCGTCGGCGTCTGCAACGACGGCAATCAGACCGGAAGATTATTCTCACAGTCCAGTTCATTACGCCGTCGTTTTGGGAGATCACGGTGGACTAACTCGTCTTCTCTCTTCCTTGCCGAAGTTAGGAGATCCTGAACAGATCCGAACAGAATCCGACTCACTGAGTCAAGAACGAGTTGCGGATCAGATCTCCGCCGTGCTTGACCGTCGCGACGTTCCTTCACGCGAAACGCCTCTCCATCTGGCGGTTAGACTTGATGATTTGTTCGCGGCGAGGGCAATTTCGTCAGCCGGTGGTGATATTTCACTGCAGAACGCTTCTGGATGGAATCCGTTACAGGAAGCGTTTTGTCGCCGGAATTCTGAGGTTATGAAAGTGCTTCTACGGCATCACCACCGTTTAGCTTGGTGTAAATGGCGGCGGAGATTACCTCGTTTAATCGCTGTTCTTCGTCGGATGAGAGATTTTTACATGGAGATTTCATTTCATTTCGAGAGCTCTGTGATTCCGTTCGTCGGAAAAATCGCTCCCTCTGATACTTACAAGATCTGGAAACGCGACGGTAACCTCCGTGCTGATACTACTTTAGCTGGATTTGATGGATTGAAAATTCAAAGAGCGGATCAAAGCTTTTTGTTCCTTGGTGATGGTGACGAATCTCTAGATATTGCTCCTGGATCTTTGCTTGTACTGAATCGAGACGATCGGAAAATTCTCGACGCTTTTGAAAGTGCCGGAGCTCCGATTAGTGACTCCGATATCGCCGGATTCTGTTCTCAGTCTAGCTTGTATCGTCCGGGAATGGATGTTACTAAAGCAGAGCTCGTAGGAAGAACGAATTGGCGACGGCAAGAGAAAATGGAGAACGTCGGAGAATGGAAAGCTAGGGTTTATGAAATCCAGAAGGTTACATTTAGTTTCAGATCTCGGAAAATTGTTACCGGAGATGGAAGCGAACAAGTTTTACCGTTGGAGTTAGACGAAGACGATGAAGGATTCTTAGTAGCTGAGAATCCGAGTTTCTTAGCTCCTCCGCCACGGTCACAGAGACGACACAGTAGCTTCGTTAAAGAAGATAGAGATTGGATCTCCGTTGGGAGAAAAAGCGTCGACGTTTATCCATCCGCCGCACCACCACCGCCACAACAATCTCAATCACCGAGAAGATCAGTGTCTCAATTTAAACCACCGAGAAGATCAATGGCTCAAGTCCAGCCACCGAGAAGATCAGTAGCTCAATACCAGCCACCGAGAAGATCAGTGGCTGTACCCTCAACGGTGTCTCCGGTGAATCCTCCGCCTTCTCCTCAGATTAAAGAGAAGGAATTCGTTAAGAGTTTGCATCCGTCAGTGTGGTTAACGGAACAGTTTCCGTTAAAAACGGAGGAGCTGCTTCCGTTACTTGACATTTTAGCTAATAAAGTCAAAGCCGTCGCCAGAATGCGTGATCTTCTCACCACCAAGTTCCCGCCGGGAACTTTTCCAGTCAAGGTAACAAAAGTGGCAATCTCGTAAATATCTTTAATTTCTCTATTTACATATTTTTAAAAGGACTTTTTGAAAACTATCATATCTTATACCAAAATTAGCAAATTAATCTATAGAACAAAAGAAAAAATTAAACCTTAAACCTAAATCTTAAACCCACAAATTAAACCTTAATCCAGTAATAACTCTAAACAACCAAAATAAAAAAATTCTAAATCTTAAAAGTTAAAATCTAGACTAAAAAATAGTGTATTTTCTTCATTTTAAAAGTGTTAGCCTATTTTAATTTAGATTTTGTTAGCATTTTATTTTTAATTGCCCCAAATTGTTATTAAAACCATTAAATTGCTTTTTACGTTTGTTACTCTTTTTGGGCTCTTCCTAAGCTTAAAACATTACGACCGTTATACCTAATGGGTCAAACCAACTTACGCGTCAAGTTCTCATTGGTTAGTCTCGTCAATGGAAACGCTGACGTGACAAGATCACGGATGGGTCACGGAGGAACCAAAGCTTTAGCTTTTTGGGGACCCATGATTTTTTTGCTTCTATAGATCTCTAATTTTGGGAAATTGTGCTTTTTAAAAACCCAAGTCAAAATCTTTAGATGATTATGAAATTTCTTGCTTTCTTTATGCTAAACAAAATCTTTGTGTGGGATCCAGCTGTCTATTCCGGTGGTCCCTACGGTCAAAGTAGTCATCACATTCACCAAGTTCGTCGAGCTTCCCCCGGCGGAGACATTCTACACGCCGCTCTCAAGCCCAAGATTCCTCTACTCAGCCGCCGCAGAAGAAGACCAATCCGATGGCGAAAAACCTGATGCTCGTAATTCGATTTCACGGCCATCGACATGGCTGCGACTAGCCACCGGTAAAGGCTCACATCGACGGATAGAGGAGGAGGAGCAACAAACGCCGGACCCATTTGCTATACCAATTGGGTATAAATGGACAAGCATGAGTAGTAATAATAATAAGTCAGGTAATAATAGTAAAATGAAGAAATCAAAGTCTACTAAGAGGTCTAAGTAGTATCCTCTTGAGGAATTAAAGATATAAATCTAGTTTTTTTTTTTTTTAGTGTAGATAATCTGATATTAGTAATATACAGAGAAAACTATTGATGAAACTGGTTGTTGTATTTTTTACAATTTTATTTTTTTCATATGATTAAATGCTGTCATTTTTTCACTCGTCGGCCATGGTCTAAAAGAGTTCAATAATAAAAGCTTTCAAATAGACGCACCAACTAAAGTAAAAATAAAATTGAACAAAAAAAGAAAAATAACTATTTGTTCACGCTTTCCATTATTTATGGACCAATATTGGTGGTTGTATTAACTTTTCCAGATACAAAAATACTTTTTCTTATAGCAATATTTTTTTGTTTATTCATTTTGTTGTTGTTTTAATATTCCTTAGTAGTATTCTGTACTAAACTTTGAAGTAATGACTTTTGATAAAGCAATCACTGAGTGTTCTGCTTTAGGTTACATAAGACACAATTTAGACGTTTTGGATTACATTCCATTCCAAGCTGGCTTTATATATCCGATTTAAATATATTGTAAAGGCTACAAAACCTATGAATTACATAAAGAGACTTGAGTCCTTGACTCCTTAGAGACTTGAAGTTGAAGTTAATAATATATAGTACACACCTAATAGAGTTATAGAAACACTTAGAATTTTCATGAGATTTATGTGAAAAGAAAGGTTTTTTTTTTACCTAAATATCTAAAGAACATAAGATAGATATGTCACATGGAAAGGGACATATTTAGATGGCTTAAATCACGACCTATATAATATGCTTTATACCTAAATATTCCAAAACAATGTTTGCTTTGCAAGTCGGAAACGAACAAACTTGAGTTAATAAAGTGCATTCAAAGACAACCCAAAAAGAAAAAAATATATATCTTACACATTAACAAATCTAAAGATTTGAACCCTGATAAAAAAAAAAGGACAATATAAACTATAATATTTTATACTTTTATCTATTAAAGAAAAGAACAACACATCTACTATTTGTCTCCATTCTCCGGGTTAGCACTCATTTTGGTAAATCAAAATCTGTCTTTCTTCTCCAAAGAAGACCTCTCAATACATTAAAGGTAATCTTTTTTCTCTCTTCTAGTTTCTTAGTTATGAACATTATTCATTTTTTTGATCCAATATCCATTTAAAAACTAATTGAAAAAGGAGTAACTTGTATCTCTAGATGTTTATATTATGTTTCCTTGATTGATTAATATCAAACTTCGATTTTCGGCTATTTAGTTTGCGAAAAGATATCACGAAATGGCAAGTGAAGCACCGAGTTGGGCAGATCAATGGGGAACCGGAGGGATCGGGGAGATGCCGGAGGAAGAGAACACCAAAAGCAAGAAAGATGCCGACGGTAAGAACTCTGGCCAAACCAAATCGGCCAAGATTGTTGATTTCATAAGTCTCAAGTGGATGAAGAATCTTGTGCAGAAGAAGAAAAAAGACTCTGATTCTTGAAAAAGAAGATAAAAAAATATCATTGTATCCATATTTCTTTTCGATGTTTTGAAAGAAATTGTTTCTTCCTAAGACCTCCATTCATCATTTTATTTATTTATATATATATATATATATATTTGTTTCGAGTTTCATATGAGTTAATGGGTTTTGGTGCATCCCACGATTGAAAGTATTTGTTTTATATGACATGGCTCAAATCTTCGCTTACTCTTGCAAATATAATAAGTTATATTTTAGTAACATGTAGGCTACTAGGCCTCGGTTATAAATTTGTTGTTTCTTCTCACAAATTGTTTATAGTCACACTCGATTTGCTAAACTTTTTTTTTTTTTAATGTATGCACCGGAATCCAGATAGTCAAATTCAACCTTAGTATTTGCAAAAACACGAATGACATTGTAAAATAATTTAATTCATTTTAATAAACACCAAAGATACACTACTTAATTACAGACTTTGCCACATTTTGGTTGAAAATTTAGCCTTTTTTTTATCTACATTGGCAGAAAAAGTAGTTATCCACCAAAGAAGCCTTTTTACCACAATTATCTCAGCTATTCCACAAATACCCAAACTAAAATGTTATGATCAAAGTGGTAGAAGAGATAATCAATAGATGACACAAGTTGTGTCCAAATGTAAAAAAAAAAACCCAAACTATAGAACACAAATTGAAAGCAACATTTACATTAATTAGTCCAAAGCAGTAAAAATAACATTTGCATATTCATAGTCATACATAAAAGGAGCATATAATATACAGATAAGTACAAAAGCATTGGAAGGCACATTTAAACCAAACCAAAGGTGTTCTCTCCACTGTAAGTCATGTAGAGAAACCCATCTTCGTCTTTGTTCTCATCATAGATTGCAGACATCATTGCAGCTGCAAAAATACATCAACAAGAACGCATTCATCATTGTTTCGAGTTTGCAGAGAAGTGTATGAGTAAATTACTAAGTTAGCAGCGGATTTTCATGAGTGCGAAACTAACATAAACCAGCTATTATGCTAAGAGTTTTGTTTTACCAGTTGGAGGCAATGTGTTCTTCACAAAGACGAAGATCGCCTTTTCGGCACTCAGCTTGATTCTTTTACGGACAACATACACAAATTGCCCCACAGTTAGATCAGCCGGAACAAGGTACCTGAATCCAACAACCAAAGAGTCACAGATCAACACATTTCCCTGATATAAGACTCTTGTAGTCTTTCAATTAAGATCAATCTCATACAACACAAAGATAAAATTCTTCAAGAAAATGTTCAAAGCAAGGCACTCATAAGTAAACAAAAGAAGCGTAGAACTCATAAGTTGTCAACAAGAAAGAAGAGTAGAAAAAAGAATGTTCATTAGTACTCACTTTTTCTTATCGATATTTGGAACATCACTTCTTTCAGCTCTCTCTACAATCACCTGCAACATATACTTGCTATGTTAAAGCTACATAGAAGAACTTACACCGAGATATACAAACACATGTTAATGAAACATTACTGGAATTCTGTCTGGATACTTGTCCCTGATGCGAGAAGATTCAATTTGTCTCCTCTCTGCCATTACAAAACCCCAAAAGAATGGTGAAAGAACATCAGTTATTGATCAATCAATCATTGGAAACATTAGAGATTTGATCAAAGTCTCTAACAATGATCTTACAATCTACTCAAAATCGTCCCCTTTTAAAAGGGTAACAATCAAAGATCCATAATTTCTAGTAACCCACTAACAAAACCCAGAAAGTTTTAGTTTTTATGCATGATTTGATGAAGAATCAAGAAGGAGACGAAAAAACTTACCCAATGGGTGTTCCAACTTGAAAGAACTATTAGCCATGGAGATTAAGAATCGAATTTCTGAAATCAAAACACCAAAATAAATCAACACAAAATATGAAATCTGATATTCAATTAGCGATCTCGCGACTCATCGGAGAGGAAAACAAAAACCCAGAAACTACGAAATCAGAGAAAGCAACATACCAAAGATTAGGGCTTCTCGTTTTCCCCAAATTTGACTGATGAAGAGAATCGAATGCTCAAATTAGGGTTTGCAGATTCCTGAATTTCTGCACGAAACTGAAAACTTTAAAGTCTGAGAAACTTTGCGTCCAATTTAGGAACTTATCGTCGTGACTTTATTTTGTTGCCATTTGTTCTGCTGCATAACCAGAAATTTGTACCGGATTATGGTTCAGAGTAACATTTCGGTTCTCATTGATTTTTTTTTTTTGTCGTCACTCATTAATTTTATTTTGGGTTTTTGTCAAACGACGCAATTTATTGTTACCTTCAGAAAACGCAGAAAATAAAACAAAACTGAAAATGAAGACAGGTTAGTTTAATTTACGGGAAAAATGTCATTTAAATCGTCACTTTGCCATTTGTGGAGGTTTAAAGCATGAACTTTGAGCCTGGTGCTTTTAATCCTCAATTTCTAGTTGACTTTCAATTTAATCTCTAACTTTCGTTGACGATGCCGATTGAGGCACTTCTTTAACTGGACAAACGGAGGATTAAGACGCTGTTATCTGTCCGTCTAATATATCCGTTAATAAGCTAAACGATGTCGTTTAATCAAATGAAAACCCCCAAATTCGATTAAGCTCGAACCCTAGAATACCAAATCGAAATTAGAAATACAAAATCGAAGATTCTCTCTCGTTTTCTTCTCTAATCAAGACTTCAATATAGCTGTGTTGAGTTTTCGATGTAAAGATCCTTACACCTAACCCACACACACTTTAAAGGCACTCCACGGGTAGCTAGTACTATCGATGTCTCGGAGCTAGAACTCATCGGAATCGAGACAACAGATCTTGAGGAATAAAGATGAGATCGAGATTTGAGAAGAAATCGAGATTAGAGAAGAAAACGAGAGAGAATCTTCGATTTTGTATTTCTAATTTCGATTTGGTATTCTAGGGTTCGAGCTTAATCGAATTTGGGAGTTTTCATTTGATTAAACGACGTCGTTTCGCTTATTAACGGATATATTAGACGGACAGATAACAGCGTCTTAATCCTCCGTTTGTCCAGTTAAAGACGTGCCTCAATCGGCTTCGTCAACGAAAGTTAGAGATTAAATTGAAAGTCAACTAGAAATTGAGGATTAAAAGCACCAGACTCAAAGTTCATGCTTTAAACCTCCACAAATGGCAAAGTGACGATTTAAATGACATTTTTCCCTTTAATTTACTGTCAATTTTTGATTTTCATTTTTTTTACACCAATGAAACTAAAACTTATGAATAGTGAATAAAGCCAATTTTCTTTGTTAACGAATTAGTTCGCATGCAGCCATTTAAAGTCAAAATTTTAATACGGTTGCACAAAATGTGAAAACTAAAATTTTATTTTTATGGGTTGATGCAATTTTATTTATTTATTAGTATTCATAGAAATTTTCCTAGGTATAATTAAAATTTAAGTGGGATAGTATGTAGGGGGATTAGCAAAAATACCCCTTTTCTCATGCCCCTTTTCAAAAATGCCTCTTTTAGATGTCCATTTTCAAAAATGCCCCTTTTTAAATCTGAAATTTTTATAAAGTTTTATTAGGTTTATAAGGTACTTATGGATTGTAACTACTACTTGAAGACTCGATCCAAGTATTTATAAGGTTTTATAAGGTGTTTTTAAAGGTTTTACAAGTTATTTTAAAGGATTTTTAAGGTTTTTCAACGGTTTTACAAGATATTTTAAAGGTTTTTAAAGGTATTTAAAATGCATTTATAAGGTATTTATAAAGTATTTATAAGATTTTAGATACATAGAAATGTAGTTTGTGTATGTTTTAATAATATTACATACATATTTGGGTAAATCTTATATTTTTAAGGACATTTTTTATAAGGTTTTTAAAAAGGGGTATTTTTGAAAAGTGGCATTGAAAAAGTGGCATTATTAACAATTTCCCTAGTATGTACTCCCTCCGTTTCTTTTATAAATGATGTTTTAAGCTTCTAATTTTGTTCTTAAATAGATGATGTTTTCAATTTTTAATGCAAAATTAATTACTTTTCTATTGGTTTTAACGATTTATATTCCGTAGATTGTTTTTTGATTGGTTGATTAGATAATAAATAATGTTTTAGTTTAGAAATACACAAAAATTAAATGATTTCTTAATATATGTGCATTTTCCTAAAACATCACTTATAAAAGAACCGAGGAAGTATTTCAAAAAAATGAAACGACCAAATTAGTTTCAAAATTCAAATAGATGTTGGGAGTAGCAGAGCCCACCAACATGCCATTGTCTCTCTTACAAACACTCATAAATACTGATTTTGAAAGCTCATGGCATTCCTTTGTTCTTTTATTTAATTTTATTCTACAAATCTCTCTACATGTACATATATACTACATGCACTATTCATAGACCCATGTGTATATTCTTGGAGATAAAAGTTACCTAATTGAGTAATACAGTAAATTTTACGTTCTTAGGAGAAAGCATTGCCTGTCCCTTTTCGCTCGTGTAGTTCTGTCTTAGCTTGTCTCGGACTATCGTTGAAAGGACTTCATCCTTACTTTATCGTGGATCTAAAGTTTTAACATTTTTTCCTTTACTGCTCTTATTCCTTGTCACGGTTTCACACTTTCACTTAGAGAGTCTTTAGATCGAGTTTCTATACATCTTTTTCATAAGTTTCATCGCTTAAGATTTAGTTGATACGATGAATCTCGAATGGTTTATGATTCCATGTTGTTTTTAACCTTTTTTGGCATATGACCATATTTTTAGGATTTGGTTCATGTAAAACATAAACTTTATCCCCAAAAAAACAAAATTCTTCTTGGATATCGTTATGCAATATACGATAGAATGCTGTTTTTCGTACTAAAACTCAACTCTGGACTTTTTCAACTTCTATGTTAAAGTTTTAGAGTTAAAATAGTAAATCAAATATGGATGCATCAAACAGATTAAAGAACGATATGCTTAGACCAAGCTTATGCACAAACTTCATGTAATTGTTCGATTTTTCCTGTGGAGGCGAGGCGTTACACATGTTTTAGGTAAGGAGAGAGATCAAGAGCATACATGCAACATGCAAGATGCAACATGCAACATGTAATAATATTATTTATAAATATTGCCTCAGAGGTTTCATGAGGATGGAATCCAATTATAAATAAAATTAAACAAATATTGAAAATTAAATCGCAGAAGTACTATTTCTTAACACGTCCTCACGTTATCACCTAACAAAATTTGGACGTACGTAATTTTTTTGTTAGAAGTATGCAATTCTACATCGCCATTTCTACTACGAATTTGCAGTAAATATGTGATCATAGACTCAAAGAGAATGTCCATCACCAAATACTAATTTTTTCATGGCTTATAACAAAATCACTATGATATTTTTTGTCCTATAATTTGTCTTTTTTTTTTTTTTTTTAATTCTTTAAAGAGAAACGTCTATAATGGTTTAGCTGTTTCTTATGGACTTTAATAAATCAGAACTAGCAGGCAATCATCATGAAATTCTTAGAAGTGGTTCAATATTTTTATTTTTATTTTTTTGTAACGGCAGACCTAGCTATTTGGTTTGATATTTATTAGTATAACATATCTATATATTTATTAAATTTAACGAAAAGTATTTCACTGTTTCTTAAAAACCATATTTTTTCAAATTTAATACAACCAACTTCCTTTTGTTGTGGGGGTTGTTGGCCTAATTCAATGCTTGTTTTTCTCTGCTATTTCTTCTTCACCCTCTTCGTATTTATATCTCCTTCACTCTGCAAACCCAAGAAAAAACATTGATTTAGCTCATGTTGTCTCTTTCTCATTTTCATATCTGCAAAAAAAAAAAAAAAAAAAAAAAACTGTGATTTCTAAACTGGTTTAACGGTAAGTACCTGTCTCTCGAAACATACCTATCAATTTGTTCCAATCATTTACTTGCTTTGATTTCTTTTTTGGTTTCCTTTTGTTTTGTTTCTTTTTATGTGGATGAGTTTGGGATAATAAGACACCAAAGAGTCGATGAGCCCACTATCGGACATCGAATACGAGATATTGGTGCGGTTCAATCAGAAAACCGAACTCTTTTGTTTTAAAGATCGGTTTTTTTTGCTTGAGCCGTGCCAATATCACGTGATTAAATGAGCCTCCATATTAGTTGATGTGATCAAGGTAATAAATATGATCTATATCGATTCTCTTAATTGTTTTTCATTTTATTTGAAGCATAGTTTGTAATTACAGATAAGGTATATCAATGTTTTGTCGTCGAGGATCACGCTCTTTCTTATATTATGTTTCTATATAATTTAATTATTTAGTTTTCCAAAATAAAAGGTCTTTAAAAAATTATTTAGAGAGTTTTTTAAATAGTTTTGTGTTCATGTTTATCTTCTGCAGGCTCGGAAGTTCGGATAGTAACAAGAAAAAGGACAAAGGAAAAAAAATTATTCATATTCATTTGTGAGAAGATAATTCTATTAGCAACAATGAATTCGTTTATAAAACTGTAGCGAAATGTTATAAATGAGACTTTTTTTTCCTTTGTAAATTGTATAGGAGATTTATGTCACTCATTAATGTAAAGATGTTAGACTAATGAATTCAAAATATTGTGTATTTGCCTGAACTTTAATTTAATTTGTTTATATCTTTATTCCACCACGGATTTAAGGGTCATGTCGATGATGTTTCGTTAACCCGCAAATTAGATATAACTCGTCAATTACATCATTAATTATCTCAAATATATTTGATCTTGTTATATTGCATAAGATAACATATCGACCAAATTTAACTAAATGTATCACATGCAATTATGATTAACATTTTAGCAGAGGATTTAACGTATATACTTAGCCTCGCAATACACAAATGTTTTTAAAGAAAATTTTACTTAAATTTTACCCATGATGAATAATTATACTCGTAATACTCGATATTATGATGGACGGTTTTACACACAACATGTTGGAACCTACATAAACTCTACTTAATAAAACCTGCACTTTACGAAAATCAAATTCCAAAAAAAAAAAAAAAATTGATTTCCAAATTTTGTGTTAAAAGATTAAACTCCGAGCTTT